TTAAATTTAGTATATATACGAAGATTCTATAGAATGCACGTGACACTCTAATGTATTTTTTTTATTTAATTTTTCTATCTTTTTAATATATAATTTATATTTTTATATTTTTATATTTTAACGTGTAAAATCCATTTAATATTCATAAAATAAATTTTGCGAATTTATGACACTCATCTTCCTGTCTTTTCTTTAGATCCCACCATCCCATCCACACTTACTTTTTTTTGGCGGACCCTATCTATTTTTTACCAAAAACAATTCTCTTTATTTTTTCCTTTTGGATGGGTCCCACCTACATTTTATTCCCTAAACCTCATCCGATTTTTTTTTTTTTACAATATTTTTCCTTTTCATTTTTAAATTTTTTTTGTAGTTATCTGTCATGATTAATGTCTTGCTTGCTAAATAAGTGTCAAAACTATATGAAAAAAGCAAAGTGCACCTTAGATTGAAATCAATGAATTGGTGGCATAGAGAAGTTTTTAGATCAATAGATAGAAATAGGGAAGTTCTCCCTTTCTAATGATAAATTCTTTTTTTTTTATTCCTATCTTTTCGATCTATTAGAACAAATTAAGCTATCTTTCAATTGATTTGAAAATAGAACGTTCATATTGCTTTTTGTTCATTTTCCAACATAGTCGCCATAATAATTTTTAATTTTTTGGATTTTTTTATAATTAGATAAATTTTATGAGAATAGGAGATCAATTTTTTAATAAATTTTTAACTTGTCTTTTTATATTTTTTAATTAAATAAAATTTTAAATAAATTAAAAATTAATTAATAAATATGATAAAAAAGAATTTAACTTCCTAACAACTCGTGAATAATCAATCTAATTCAAATAATGAAAATCAAGACGAAGATGTATGATTTTACCTATATATTTTTTTATGGATAAATGTCATAGTGAGATGCCAAATCCTAGGTTCTAGGTGGTGAGGCAAAAAAACAATATAAAAAAGTGAATGGTTTCATTTGCAATTTTACGTGAATTTTTGGGCTTTGGCTCGATCAAAGCACAAGAGAAGTTGAATATTGTCCAAAGAGTACTATATTTTACCAAAAATTATGCAATAGTTACATTATTGTTCACTTAATTATTAATAAGGAGTTGTCTGAATTTTTCATTGTTTAATTTATAGGTCGAATCTGGTTTGCCATTGATTAGTCTTTAAGTATGCTATTTAATTAATTTCAAATTGAAGTAAATAATAATAATATCTGTCATTTCCTTCAACTAAGCACAAAGGAGTTGTTTCCCATGGCAACAAATAGACATGATGTGATTTTGACAGTATTTTTTGCATAATTGGATGAGTGAAAATGGGTCATTGTCTTCATAATAATGTTCAACTAATTTTGTTCTAATCAATTAGGAAAAAGAAAATCGATTGCTTGGAATTTTATATTTAATTTATTTATTTATATAATTATTTTAAAAGGTAATACTTAATAAATTTTAGTTTTAATATTTTAATATTTACGATTTTTTTATTGTTCCCTCGAATCATTATCAATATATAGTTTGGTTGATTTAATAATGGCAAACTGTTAGGCACTTGTCCAAATGATGATGGGAAAAGATGAAAGAAAAAATATTGGCTAAATGTTTGTTTTAGGACTAAACTTATATCAATATTAAATGTATTATTGTATACTAATCATGATTAAATGTTATAAAAAATTTACAATTAGAGGTTTATTTGAATAAAAATTTGTGCGCGTTTCACACGCACTATTAACTCTAATAAAAATAATAATTAAATAAAAAAAAGTCATGTGTTGCTTTTTTAGCGGTTAAGTATCATTTTAAATAAAAAATTAAAAATATTTTAAAAATGAGATTTATTTTTTAGAAAAAATGACAAATCATTTCATTCTTACTATTTTAAATATGGTTTAAAAATTAAAAAAAAAGTAAAAAAAATAAAAATTCAAAGTTTTGGGGATTTTTTTCCACAATCATTAAATTTTTGATTACTCAATATTAATCTATACAAAAAAAAAAAAAATCAGCAATCTATACCATAATACCTATGAAATTCAAAAACCCACAATTAAACCACATAAATTTTTGTTTGTCCAAAAATTTTGAATTAAAACTGAAACCAATAATCTAACATCATCCTAATTATAGAGCTCAAAGATTATAAACCAAATTTTAACAAAAAAATAGGCACACCTTGTAACCTTCACCCTTCCTTAATTCATTTCTTTAAGACACCTTTTTCATCTCCAACTTCTCAATGATAAAATTACAAAAAGGGGTTCATTGATTAGGTGTTTGTTAATTTGGGTTTCTTCCAAAATTTCAAATTTGGCAAAGATTGAGCATGGACAAGCTATTAGTGGCTCAACAAGGTAAGGTTTAAAATGTCTAATTTTCTTGTATTGTGAATAAAGGAGTTACAGTTAAAGAGAGAAAGTAAATACTAAAAGAAAAGTTGAACAGGGAAAAAAAAACAAATGAAAAAGAAAGATAGCCCTTTGCAAGAACAGAATAATGGGAGGCTTCATAGAGAAACAGGAGCTGAGGGGAGAAAAATCTGAAAGTTAGGACCAAAAGAAGAAAGAAAGAAAATTTGTTGTGTTTCTTATGAAACTGATGTTATTATTATTATTATTATTATTATTATTTTGGTTGTAGTTATAAATTAGTATTAATACACAACTAAATGGTGCGTAGGAGACATGCACAAAACTTAATCCAAATGTATCCCTAATTATAATTTTTTATAACGATTAATTTTATTCATATAAAATAAAACGTTTAATTATGAATTGAATAACCATATAAATGTTTAATCCCAAATTAAATATTTAATAAAAAAATTGACAATAGCAAATCATGTACTACATAATTCATAAAAAAATTTTATTTTGTAAATTGAGTCATTTTGTTTTTATTAAACAAAAATCAAACTGACTACTATATATTATCTTTTGAAATTACTATTATTATTTTTCTAATTAATTATGCTGCCTTTAGTCTTAGCCAATAAAAGGCTGAGATTAATGAGATGCCTCCAGGACCATATCCACAAATTAACAGCAAAGAGAGAAAGATGAAGATATGGAAGATTATAAAGTATATTACATCCTTGTAGTAAGGATTAGGGGGTGTGACAGCTTCAAAACTATAACTATGAAAAACGAAATTAGTTAAACCCTATGTGACTTTCCGAGATGTAATTGCAACTTTGATCCATATTCTTATCTTTTTTTTTTTTTTCTATTTTCAAGTATCTAAGTTTGGCAATAAAGTTTTTTTTTAATTTTTTTTCACAAAAAATTCATAGTATGGAGATAGAGAAAAGAATTGAAGTGATAAAATTTAAATTTCAGATTTATTGAATATCACAATATTTATATGAATTAATTGAATCAAATTCAAAAATAAATAAATTATATATATTTATTGTATTATGTACTTTGTGATGTTTCATTGTTGCAAAAGGAAAACCATTGATATAGGAGAATGAAGATTGTTCACAAGAAACTGTTCCTATATTTTTCTTCTCCAACCTATCAAACTTGTGTTCGTTATTCTTAATTTAGTTTTTGAATGTAAGTATGATTATCCACATTGTCTTGTCTGCCAAGTCCCTTTTGGAATCCAGTGTTTGACAACTGCAATGGATTTGAAAGGTGTAAAAAAGCAAACAACCTGATAGGCTACTCAGTATTCTTTCTTTCTTTCCTTTTTCAATTATTCTTGGCTCTAGTAATTTCAACCAAATTTTCCTGGAAAAAACTTGCTTTATCTTTATAAATATATCCTCAAGTGAGCATAGAAGGATCGGATACACTTGAGTCTGTTGAATAGAAGAGTGGTTTTTGTTCATTAGTTAAGTTTATAACTTTTCAAAGTTAGGGTATTAGCCAACGTGTATATTGAATGCCTGGCAGTTCCTTTTAGTACAGAGAAGCTGACAATACGTGAACCCAGATGAGCATAGGTTCTTGAATTGAATTGGCTTAACTTGAATCTGATGCTGAAGAGCGCAGCTGACCAATGAGCTCGTACAACTGGACAATGGGGACCAATCTACAGAATGATGTACGAAATGTGGTCCTAGTTTATTGAGGATGGAAATAGTAACATTGGCACGAGGGCTAGGTTCCCACTAAGCTGCAAACCAGTTGGCTACTCCAAAATGAAATGTAAAAACAATGAAAAATGAAAAAAGGAAGAAGAATATATAGGATGCTTAGGACATATGACAGTTGAGAGGGTCATGCAAGACGCGTTGAAGCTTGATAGGTTACTTAAGCCTAACTCGTTGGACCACCATGTACAAAGGATTTTAACTTTTTTTTTTTTTTAAAGAAGGCGCAACTTATTAAGCATTGTATATGTTTAAATTTGAATCTTAAATCTTTTAATTGTCATTCGTTATATGAATTAACTAAGTTAGGTTTCAAATTCGGTTTTTAACCTTTCACCTTTCAACAATACAACTTTAGATACATGCCAGCGAGCTGTGTCCCCATGTCAGGAAAAGGACTGTCAAATTTAATAAAGAGAAAACTTCAAGCAGACGCAGGGAAAAACTTTAGAATTGAATCGAGGAACAAGTCAAGAACACAGATTATTTAATATATAGTTTAATATATATATATATATATATATGTATGTATCAACTAAATTGATATATGGATAAATCTGTCTTTGCCACAACTTCTGTCGTTATTGGATTTGGAAACGAGCAGAAATTCTAGCTCCGTGATTGGAGCAGAAAGAAGCCGCCGTAGAAAATGAATGGTTCAAGCCATCCAATACAAGGAAAATATGAACAAAATTTATTGGTTTTCTTTTTATTTTTTGCTTTGGTTCATTGAGGGTGATGTTTTTCACTCAAAAACAAGAAAATGGAGAGAGGTATAGTACCATATAATCTTTGATTGTGAGTGGAAATTGTGTTTTTTTTTTTTTTTGTTCTGTACAGCTAATTAAGCCCTTTAGATTCCTATCTTTCACTGTTGAGTTAATGCTGACGGGGGTAGAAATGGAACTTTGCGCTCCTCACACATGACTCTCCTCTGTATTTTCTTTTTCTTATCTCTGGGTCTTTTTTATTCTTCTTCATTGTTGTCTGCAGCCCTCTTCATCTCATTCATCTCCTACTTTTCTCTTGTTTTTTTCACAGAACCAAAAATGGCAACAAGCAAAGCTGATGGGAAGAGGAGCCTGAAGGAAATGACGGAGGATGAAGACGAGGAGGAGGATGAAGATGGTGCTGGTGCTATAGGGTTTGGAGATGATGAAAAGAAGAAGAAAGGCAAGAGAGGATCCAGTGCGGGGGGAGGGTCAACACTACCTGCTTGTCAGGTTGAGAATTGTACTGCTGACATGACCAGTGCCAAGAGGTACCACAGGCGCCATAAGGTCTGTGAGTTCCATGCCAAGGCTCCCATGGTTCCAGTCGCTGGACTCCATCAACGCTTCTGCCAACAATGTAGCAGGTTTGAACTCCCAAACCCTAATCTTTCCATCCATATTTTACAAACGTTGTGTACTTTTATTGATGTCTGAATCCTATGACATATTGACATGTGGTTCATATTGTAGCTTAAATTAATTGAAAAAGCGAACTCATTAAACCTTGAACAAATCAATGAGGTTCATTCACCAAGGCACTGCTAATTGTTTAACCCTATCTTTTTGTTTTTGTAAATATTATTTATGAATTTTAACATTGTAATTAAACTGTAAGATAATGGTATCAATGTTGACTTGAACAAGAGATTATTGACTTAATTCTGTGATTATTTATTTTTATTCATGAAATGCTATTTGCTTTAACATATCACATTAGATTTTCAATCTTAGTTTTTTTTTTTTTTTTCAAAATTAAAGTTATACAGGCAAAGCACTTGATAAGCAATTACCAAAAAATAGAGACATGAGCTCAATATTATGTAATTATGATTTTGAATTATTATAGATAAATGATAAAGGGTATACCAAGAACCCCACTTCTATTTTCATAATAATATATGAATAGTAATAATTTTATCTCAAATATCATATAGACTATCTTTGTATATTCCACTAACACAACTACCGCAGCATGATGTAACATTTCAGAGATTAATGTCTAAATGGGAAGAGGGTGAATATTTGAGGATTAATTGTTAAATTCCATTGATAGAGTGATGATATCCATCCTTTTTAAGTGGTACATTTTGTTTGTTTCTCAGAGGGTCTCCCTCATAATTTGATGAAAGACAAATCAAGATCACTGATTCATCATAGCAGATCATTCACGGTAGGCTGACGATGATAGAATACAAGAACCCGTACCCTGGACAATCATGTGCCTTGAAATGCCATTGAAGGAAGATGATTAATTTCTTTGGTTCATCCAGGAATTTTGCAGGTCTTGGGGTTTATTTTTATGCTCTTTACACAGGCATTACAGACTCACTAATCCAAGGGTTCTTGTTTTACGTTCCTGCATTTATGGCCAGTGGCTGCACTTGAATCCATGATAATGCTTTCAAAATAACTTACAGAAACAAAAACGTTTCCCTTTTCTTTGTGCTCAGAAATCAGAACTAGATCGTTTCGACTTTAGACCAGGAAAAAAGGGTCAAGTACTACTTTTTCATATCTTTTGGCAGTTCGTTTTCATCTCTTTAAAATGATGGTGATCTGCAGGTTTCATGAGTTATCAGAGTTCGATGAAGCAAAAAGGAGTTGTCGAAGGCGCTTGGCTGGACACAATGAGCGGCGCCGGAAAAGCTCATCGGAATATCAAGGAGAAGGCTCAAATTATTAACTAGAAGGCAAGCTATATATTATAAGATAAAAGAAAAAAAAGTCAAGAAAACTCCAATTATCCCATATATAAGAGGCCTTTTCCAATGCTCATCAAAATCAGTTTGGATGTCAACGGCATGATTCCAAAGCATGCTCTCTGTCTTCTGTCAATCTTATTTTCAGCATGAAAAATAATCGACTATTATCTACATGACTTTTATTTATGCATCTTTATCGGGGTTTCTTTTTTTCTTTTATCTCTTGGTCTGCTGTTTTCTTTTCTGCTTCTTGTTTCATTCCATGCATTTCTAACATGTTCAATAAATATTTCCATGAAAACTTGACATTAGGGTTAATAATTTTTTGTTTATTTGAGAGAGTTTGGCAACAAATCTGGTCAGAAGAAATGGGTTCCAAAGTCCCCAAGGCCTCGTCAAAATCTTGAGTTTTGGATTCATTATAATGGATTAATATTCACTTTAATTATCTTTACCCGTCAAACAAGTTTAGTTATTCATCAAAAAGTACTTAGTTGGCCAACAGGCAACACAAAACGTCGCTGCAATTTGTCCTTTCTCATGTGTTGATTAAAGTTGTTTTCCCAGTGCCAAGGTTTTACACGTTTTTGATTGAATGTAGGAACTCGCTTTGTTGCGTTATTAACAGGGTGGGGTTCCTGAGGCTGAGTGTGGTCTCTGGTCTCTTGTATGTGCCAAAAATCAAATGTCGCATTAATTTTTTACCTGAAGAGCGTACGTCCACCGCCTTTGGTACGAGGTAATTAACCCATCAGCCTTCCTTTGCTTGCCCACGGGAACTGAAGGTTGTTGATTAACCCATCACCAAATCAAGTGGTGTGGTCGAAACTACTGTGTATAAATCTTGTTTCCTAGGTAGCAGATAGGGTAGAGTTTGGCACAATTGGCATGCGACTGAAAAGGATATAAAACAAACAACCTAGCCTAGCCTTGGTGTTTGTAATAACGTGGAAAAGCCAACTCCTTATAAACCCCACGAACCCTAGCTGTTTTAGGATCATGACCACAGGATTTAACCGGCTAAACTAGTTAATCTTTGTCTGATTCAGACCTAATGGAATGAACAAAACTAAATTTGGAGCCATCGGATCGATGCCATACTACCTATATATTCACATTTATTTTTCCTGTACCAATGCACGGCAGAGCTCACAGTCTTAAAATTTCTGTCATGAAGAGAGAAGGGAGAAGGGCAGAAGTGGAGAACAAGGGGAAAAGGTGAGGTCTCTCTCGGTATCAGTAACAGTGTACAACCTTAAGCAATTCAATGGCCACTTGGCCAGTACCATATGGTGGTACCCAATCAATAAATCATATGTATTGGCTTATACAAATTTGTCCAATGTTAATTCCACAGAGTTTAGGAATTTAAAGGTTTAACCATCAGTTCATTGACAAAGCTTGGATTAAGGAGCATCCTGCAACCAGACAAGAAGCTAATATATCTTCAAATTCTTTTCTTTTTTTTTTTTTTAAAATGTGATACTTCACGAATCTTTTCTAATTTAATGAAAATGGGTTTTTAAGAATCTGCCAAATCGTGTACTTCTAACTGATCAACACCCAAACTGAAGGAAGTTTGTTAGAAATATGAAAGAAAATACAATAACTATTAGATAATGAAATGGACCCCAAGAAATCACAGATCTTAACTAAAGCTTCTTGAAACATCCACTATTACTTTGTTGGGTCAGCAAACATAGCTTAATATTCTTCCATGTGGAATGCTGTTACTTGAATCATTGAAGGAGGAAATGAAAGTACAGAAGGCCATCAATAAACGCAATTAATTCACTTATTTGTACGTCAATGAAGTTGACAAATGTAATTTCCAAACGTGCAGACTCCTTCCCGCAACATCCATTCTTTGTCTGATCCATAGAGTCAATTCAGGCAAGCTGGAGTCATCGTCAAATGGGGGTTTGGAACTTGATTCTACATATTTTGGCGGATATTCTTTTTCTTACAGCACAAGAAAAATGCCAATGGTCATAACTTACTAGGAAGAATCTCATTAGGGAGTCTTTCCACTTTGCCAAATTGAGCTGACCTCTTCAACAATTCGTTCCTTTCAGCTATGAATTTAGCAAACCAAGAACCCTTCCCTTCTTTGTTGTTGTTATCTTCTAGTAGCGGCTCTGGAAGATTAGGCGGAGGCCCTGGCTTGGGAGATAATGGAGGCATCAATGCCCAAACGGAAGAAACGTGTTCATGTGGTTGGTCAAGGTTTTGCAGAAGCGAAAAATCCTGCATGTCTGTTGAAGAAAAACAAAACTAATTTAGAAATTTATCAAGAGAACTCCAAATTATCTCCTTTTGATGCAAAATGACAAAAAAATCTAAACAAAGCAGAAAGCACAGAAGGATTTACAGAATCAATACTAAATTTTAGCAGTCAAATAAGGAGAATGAGAAAAAAATGAAGTTTTTTTTATAGTCAACATAGTATACCATCACTATCCTAACTAACCTGTCTCTGGCAAACTGAAAGATAGGCATAAAATCTAAAGTTCAAATGTGGTATAACTGTTCCTCTACCATGCCTGGCATTGCTGTTTCAAGAATGTAACTCGTTAAAATTGATTAATCAGCAAGCACTGGAGCCTAATTAAACAGACACAAGATTCAAACAAAAAAAAATGAGGCTTAGTTAAAAAGTAACGCACAATAAAAAATGCTGCCACTAACTCACTATCTTGTATAATATGAACGATTTACTCCAATCACAAGCCTACAACAACAGCAAATCAGCAATAAGAATATGCAAAGCAGCATTTCTCACTAACAAATATGATGTCAAAGTAATATGAGACATCATGAGGAATGCATAACCATACAGCACAGATTGGCACGTTTGGAATAGTCCCTGAACTCATTTTTGCACAATTATTATCCACCATACCTTGCAACAAGTCCAATCAAACGACCATCTGAATTGACAACAGCACCACCACTTCCACCAGGATGAACAGCAGCAGTTGTTTCAAGCATTGCTGGAAATTGTGATACCCCTGGTAGAACAGATTTGTAATATAAAGTCATCTCTGCTTTTACTACCTTTGCTACCAGTTTCCGTTCCTGGTAGATTTGTCCTCGAATCATAATTAGAACTCAGTGGCATAAAAAATGTATAGGTAGTAAAAGCATAGAGATATCCTAACCAGGGAGACATCGAATGTCGGCCATCACCAATGCTCTGTCAGATGATTTAGGTGGATAGCAGTTGGCAACAGATCCCACTGATTCGCTGGTTCAAACGACTACATTAATTAAACAGTAGAACTCCGGAGACAACATAAGCAAGCAAAAAGATATACCATATCGAGAGAGAAAAGTATTGATAGTTTGATTGCAAAAGTTAAATGCCAAAATGATTAGTTCTATTTCATCTTCTACAAGGATCGATGATCTCAGTATTTGGACTGATGAAAACTAGTTGGTCGTTGTCAATGTTAGCTTATTAAAATGTAAAAGATATTAACCTAGGGAAGAAGCATTACCTGTTAAAGAAGTGCACAGGAGAGAAGATGACAAAAGGAGATCCCGTTGCCAGAAGAAATTCACCCCTTTTATTCAGAGGTTATATCCCAATAATTGGTAGGTTCTAATTCATGATAATCCACAACATTAAGGTTAAGGGCTAATGCATGCAAAACAATCATACCTCCCAGAACATTTCGAAACATTTTTTGTTTGCTATCAGACAGTATGTTTACAAAAAGGAAAGAGTAATAAGTGAACAGAATGTTTACATTTAAATAAAAGTTAACTCCAAGGATAGCAATTCTAGTTGTTGACCTGGCCATAAGACTAGGATTGCTCGAATCCCCTACCACTACTGAATCTGAAATAAAGCTTATAGGTCAGATTTTGTTGGATCTCCAGCAAGGAACAAATAAAGGAAAAAAATGCTTCGCCAAACATGGGCACAAAAAAATACCAGGATCTATGGCAAACGCAAACTAACAACTTTTTGACTATTTTAATCCAAGTAAATACTTCTCTCGAGAAAATTTCTGTTTGTATACAACTGATCGCCAAAGAACACAATGATAGAAATTCACACTTCTGAAGAATACAATGCTGTAGTGCCCAGAATTTCTTCTTAACACCAAAAATAGCCACTCAAAGTGCTAGAAGACTTTTAATAGTCTTGGTGCTTTAGCTTAACAACTTTTAAGTAAGGAGAGTAACATTTAGTTCACATTAAAGTTCCACAAAGCTGCTTTGACACAAGCCTGACCACACAAATACAATTAAGAAAGAAGTTCGCTCGATACTTGCCTGCGTCCGAATACCATTCACTGAAGGCTGATGAGTTGAAGCCAATGACCGACCAAACTCCCATCCATGCTCTTGTGAGCCTGAAGAAGCTTCAACAAGGGATTGAAAAGCAAGGGATGATATAGGAACATCAACCTTCAAAATTCATTGGCTAGTCAAAATCAGAAATATATGCAATCAAAATTATCAAGTGCAACAAACTATGACCTAATATTACTGTGCATAAAGTGTTCTTAAAGATTTTAAATCTCTAAGTAGGCATATTAACAATTTTAAAGGCTCAACATTTTCAGTAGTCATGCGGTAAGCCATTGACAAGATCCTTTGTCCAAATTCACGCCCTATTCTATTAAACAGAACTCAAAATTTACTTTGAAAAATTATCATTCCTACTTAATCAACAGCCTTATCCTATCTTATCCTCAACCATAATATCAATTTGAGCATCGAAGTTCATATAGCTACTGTAAATAAGTCATCTGATTGGTAGCTAGATTCTAGTGTAACAATTTATGTTTGCAACAACAAAGAGTAGTTTAAGATTTATGACGAATGCAAGGGATCAGAAAATATCTTTATGAGAAATCATATTCCTACCAAAGTAATTGAAAAATGAACGGGTGAATTAAAATTCACATCATGATAGAACATAACTTTACTTAATGTTTTTCATGTTCATGAGAGTAGAAAGAACCTTGTATCTACATATTTGTTATGTAAGAAAAGTTTTAAGATTGTACTAGAGTCTAATAAATTTATAGTGTCACAAGATGATGCATTCATTGGAAAATAATATTTCAATGATGGTATGTTTGAACTAAGTATTAATGAAATAAATAATGTTTCTGCTTATATTGTTTGACACTCTTCTTCTTTATCGCATGCTAGATTAAAACATTAAAATTATCAATATATGAATCACGTGTCTAAGCATAGTTATATAACATACCAGAAAAATCATGACATTAAATGTAAAATCTGTGTCAATGCAAAAATGACTAAAAACCTTTTCTTAAAGTTGAAAGAAATACAGAGTTGTTAAAACCTGTACATTTTGATATTTGTGAGTTAAATGATTTATTAACAAAGGAAGAAAAAAAGTATTTTATACCATTTATGGATGATAGTTCTTGTTATACTTTTGTGTATCTAATAAGAGCAAAAGATGAAACTTTTAATAAATTCAAAGAATATAAATCAGTTGTTGAAAATCAAAAAGAGAAGAAAATCAAAATTCTTCAAACTAATAGGGGTGGGGAATATTTTCCAGATTCATTTTCTCTTTTTTGTGAAGATAATGGGATTATTTATCAAAAGATAGCCCTTTATGCATCTCAACAAAATGGTTTAGCCAAAAAAAAAAAAAAGAACCTTAGTTGATATAGTATGTTGTTAAATGCTAAATTACCTCTAAATCTTTGAGCATAAGCACTTCTAACATCATGCTATATATATAATAGAATTCTTTCAAAGAAATTCTTGAAACCACCACATGAACTTTGGAATTATGATAGAAAACTAAATTTGGATTATTTTAAAGTGTAGGGGTGCATTGCCTTTTATAAAGTATCTAATTCTCATAAATCAAAATTAAGACCTAGAGATATTAAAAGCATTTTATTGGTTATGCACAGAATTCAAAAGCATATAGACTTCTTGATTTAAATACTAATGTTATTGTTGAATCTATTCATGTAGAATTTTTTGAAAGTAAGTTTATATGTGATACTAAAATTTATATGAAGAAACAAATTGAAATGATTCCTACAATTGAAAATAAAAGAAAAGAAAGTAATGATTTTATTAAACTTAGAAAGAGTCAAAGAACTAGAAAATACAATATGTTGCATTCTGGTTTTATTTCTTCAGATTCTATTATCTTCTTAACAGAAAGAAATAGAACCAAAGTGCTTAATAAAACACCAATTCTACTAAATATAGAAGAAGATCCTAAAACATTTAATGAAGCTATGACTTCAAGAGATGTTCATTAATGATGAAATGGCCTCAATTATGTCCAACAATAAATGGGTCTTGGTAGATTTACCTCTAGATTTTAACCTATAGGATGTAAATGGGTATTTAGAAATAAATATAATATAAATGGTTTTGTTCAAACTTTTAAAGCGAGATTAATTGCAAAAGGTTTTAAACAAAATGAAGGCATGGATTATTTTGATGCATATGCTCTGGTAGCTAGAATAACATCTATTAGAGTTTTTATAACTTTGGCTTTCGTTTATAAATTACATGTGCATCAAATGGATGTTAAGATGGCATTTTTAAATGGTGACTTAAAGGAAGAAGTATACATAGAACAACTGAAAGGTTTTATTCTTTCAGGTAATGAAAATAAAGTTTGTAAATTAATTATGTCACTTTATGAGCTAAAGCAAACTCTTAAATAATGGCACTAAAAGTTTGATGCAATCATATTAGCCAATGGTTTTAAACATAATGGAGTGAATAAATGCACTTACTCAAAACTTACTAAAGATTATAATCATAATATGTCTCTACATGGATGATATGCTAATTTTTAGTATTAATATGATTGACATAAAAGAAATCAAAAGGTATCCAATTTCTAATTTTAAAATGAGAGATTTAAATGAAGTTGATACCAGTTTGAGAATTAAAGTTAAAGAGACATAACAAGGGTTTAGAATTTAATCAAAATCATTATATTAAAAAACTACTTAATAAGTTTTAAGTATCTTAATATAAACAAAGCCAATACTCTATATGACACAAATATAAAGTTAACAAAAAACCCAGGTCATGTAATTGCACAACTTGAATATGCTAGCGTTATTGGAAGTATTATTTATGCTATGCATTATACTAGACCAAATATAGCTTTTGTTGTTTACAAGTTATCAAGATATACTAATAAGCCTAGTAAAAGTCATTGGAAAGCCATAGGAAGAATTCTTGATTATCTTAAAAGAACTAAAGATTTTGACTTTTTTTTTTCAAAATATCCAACAGTTTTGGAAGGATATTCATATGCAAGTTGAATCACTAATTTAAATGACAATATATACACTTCAGTTTGGATGTTTACTCTTGGAGGTGGTGCAATTAGTTGAGCATCCAAGAAACAAACTTGCATTTCACATTCAACTATGGAATTTGAATTTATAACTTTAGCTGCAACAAGTAAGGGAGCAGAATGGCTAAAAAATTTATGAATGGATAGAGAACTGTAGCCACAATCAATGACAACCATTTCTTTGTACTGTGATAGTGAAGTTACTATGTCTAGAGCTTATAGTAAAATTTATAATGGAAAATCTAGACAAATTAGTCTAAGACATGACTATATAAGAGAATTGATAAAATTTGGGATAATTACCATAACATATGTTAAATCCATTAACAACTTAGTAGATCCTCTTATCAAGATGCTACCTAGAAATTTGGTAAGAAGCACCACAAGTGGAATGGGTTTAAAATTTCTTTTAGACACCAATAATGAGAACCTAATTTTGAATTAGTAATCTCTAATTACAAAATTTAATAGGTAACAAGAAGTTATTATTATGTGTCTGTAAACACTAGTCAACCCATTCTAGATATTTGAAATACTAGTGTGAACCATTGATAAATGGAGGTTGAGATTAAACTCTTAATGGAGCATATAAAATGTCTACAGCAATGGAGATATAAATAAGAAACTCCACCTATATAAATATTGAAGTGGTGCTGCTTCGACAAGAAAATTGAAAACTTTCTTGTAAATATTTATAAATAAGGATAAATACATGGCCATACTAATACTAAAGAGATCATAACTTCAACAAGAAAATTTGAAACTTTCTTTTAAATGTTTATAAATAAGGATAAGCCCATGACCATAATAGTACTAAAGCGGTTATAAACCTCTAATAAAAGATTAAATAAGTATTATATTTGTTATATCTTCAATTTTAACAATAAAAGTTGAGGTTTAATTTGCGAACACCATCAACTTTGTTAGAATTCTAAGATATATACGTTAATTGAAGATTTAAATGGAAGATGCATTTTGTATTCGTAATATTTATTAGTGTGAAAGTTAAAGATTAAGCACCAACATTTCAAACTAGTAGGAGATTGTTGGTAATTTAGAATGTAGTGTATCTTTTACTTCTTTAAATTTCAAAATATTAATAAAATATTTTTATTCTAAATAAGTATGTTTGAACAGCAAAAGATAATTGTTTGAATAAATATGATTGAACAGGAAAATATAACTGTCTGATTAAGTTTGTTTAAATAAAAAAATATAACTATACAAATTATCATGACTTTTTAAATAAGAATTTTGTAACTGTTCATTTATTATTAATAGATTTTTTTACTGACCAATTTTACTACTTATAATTTGAGAGCTTGAAAATTTTATTGTATCTTATAAGCATAATTATTTTTAAAATAATGTTCTTCAAGTCTTAAAGTCATATTTCTTCTTTCTTATTATTTCTATTTTCTCAAAATTTTCTAACAATAAGCAATTATACAAAAAAAAAAGAAAAAGATCAATATTGCTACCTGAGAACGGTGTTCTCGATGTTGAATTGTAAGAAAAGGCTCAACGACAGAAGCAACTGTCATAACCAACTTCAAATTCTAACCACCATCACTGTCCCAAATAGACATAGCCACCTGAGTGTTGTAAAGGGTGTCAGGTAATAGCATCCTCGAAGCTGACAGTGTCGTTTTGCCAGAACTACAATACCCAAAAACAGATAAAAAAAAAAAAGGATTAACCCAACAAATTGAAAAGAAAAAAAAATTAAATTAAACTCAAACAAATTTTAACTCACTGGTATTGATGAAAGGCATGTTTCCTCATCTTCAACCCCTTTGGATCCTACATAAATTTCAAAAAGTAAAATATAAATCTAATAAATATCCAAATAAAGTAAAAGAAAAACAAGGTTGCAAGGTAAATGGGTTTACAGGGCCTTGAGCTCTGACCAAAACGAAGAAATTCCGGGCAAAATTGACTGTTTCTTGGGGACCCATTTTTGATAAAAAAATCTTAAAGAATAAATCAAATGAATTCCTTGACATGTAATAAAGAATTAATCGATAAGGTGTGGCCGTTGGATCTATTGATGGGCCCAATCTTTCTGTTCTGTTCCTTTTCTCTTACGTGGACGGCAGATTCGTGTTTTTTGTTTTTTTCTTTATTAATTTCTTTTTTCTTGAAAGAACAAAATAGTTTACTCAATGGTTAGTACATTTTTTCAATATAAAAAATTAGAAAAAAAAGGAAATACATTTCTTCAATGTATGAATAGAATAATAATTTTTTTTATAAATGCAATAATTATACATATGGTTAAACCATATAAACATATATAGATAAATCCAAAATTAATTGATAAATCAATGTTTTTATTAAATTAAATAACATACTTATGCACATTATACAATACCCTTTAATTTATTTATTTAATTATTATTATCGCCGCCGCCCACGGTCGGGTCTTGAATGACAAAAGATCATTTAACCACCGTGGGCTAGCGTCTTGAGTAAATTCCGCCACAACTTGGAATTTTATTACTCACAAAAAGAAGGGCCCTCAAACATCTACTGCTTCTACTTAAGACACGTGATAACAATAACATCAAAACAAGGACACTTGGCCCATTGAAAGTTGAAAACACCCTATTTACATGCAACCCCTGGTTGACGACTGCGGCCTTTGCTAGCTAGCTGCCCGCTGGCAGGTCACCACCCGATCAGCGATGATGCTTGCTCCTGGTCTCCCCGCTGTAAAGCCTGTCATCACATCCAAACCAAGTACTTCATCTCTAGGCCTCAAAAGCAAAATTAAAAGAGCCTATGAAACTCAAGCGCATGGTGACGGGTCAGACATATCCATGCATGCAAGTAGTTCGAAAAAAATTGTTACCAGTCATAGACAGTAGGTGAGTTAGGCTGTGGCTTGTCGAAAACCTCAGCGCCAATACTTTTGGTAGCAAGGTTGCTACCAGGATTGAACACGCTCCTCCAAACGTTCTCCCTACGAGCTGACACCGGGGTAGTTGGTGTCGCCGGTGTCCCTGGACTCGACGGCATAGACATCGACCTCTGGTACTTGCTCCCTTCTCCTTCGTCTAACCAAAAAAGATCAATTCAGAGTCACAAATGAAATCAATATATAGGATGAAATCCATGCAAATGAAGTTAATTGTTTTGGCTAATATACACACCTTTGATTGTCGAGCGCTGGGTGGTGATCTTCCTCAGCCTGCCGAGACCACGTTCGGGTTGAGGCCCAGCTACTACATCATCCCACAGTTTCTCTAGGAGAACCATTTTTTTTTCTTGATTTTCTTTTTGATTATATCTCTTTCCTGATTTCTCTACTCTGTAATGCTTTTGGTGGCTGATTATATAGAGAGAGTTTTAGTTGTAATGTTTGATTGAATGCATCCAAAGTGATGAATCAGGATGAGGACTGACTGAGTAAAGCAAGGGACCCGCAAAATAATATCTACTCTCAAATTAAACATCTGATAAGAGTAAGTTGGGGGTTTGTCCTAGTTTTTAGAACAATCATTGGGGTCCACACAAAATGGAAGTCGTGTTCAAAGAGTCACACGTGGGTCCCAATCCCTTTGATCATGGGATGCCCACTAATTTCCCTTTTAATTATGATGCTCGACAGGATTTATGTGATACTGAAATTACCATTCTGTTTTGTTGGTAGTTTTTTACATTGCATGATTGTTTGTGCTTAAAAAAAAGCATTCCAATGGGGTCGATTCGGGCAACACTTTCATTTTTTGTTCATTCCCAAGCTAACATGTAAGTGAGGTCCACAGGCATTTAAGAAATTGTTGGCCCAAAAAGAGCAAGAAAAGCAAAATAATCCACACTACGATGCATTAGATTGTGGTAACTAAATATTATTAAAATTATATCACAATTTATGTATACGCAAAAATATAAAATTCATTATTTTAATTTTATTAAATTATTTATAATTTTTAGTAAAATTTTATATCATATTATTTTTATATCATTTACTTGTATAATTTTTATTTCATGTTTTAAATTATCAGTTCTACCATCACCAAAAACTGATGTTGACCTGATTTTTTACTTCATGGTTTGCGATTCTTCCCCCACCTCGCATAAAAAAAACCAATTACATATTACAAACATTTGGCAAATATGAAAAAACAAAACCAACATTCAGATCTTTATCATTTCAGTGGTTCTCCTTAAAAAAACTGTCTTCGAATCAATGAAAAAGAAGACAGAATCATTAAGAATTCATTAAGATCTAAAAGTAAGAGACAGAGGTTTATTATTTCACTTCACATGCTTCATTGGTAAATCCACCCAACAAACAATAAAAGTTAGTGACAGATCAAATTCACAAATTGCCTATTCTTCAAAGTCTATACATTCCTTCAAGTTTTTACTGATGAACCAATGCACTCGTTTTGTCTGCTTTTTATCAGAACCACCAATACTAACTAAAATTATAAAAAGTTTAGAGCATATCGGGATTTCACAATTAGTTGAAAACACAACAGTCAAACAGAGCAAAAGATTAAAGAAAAAACAAACCGTAACAAAATGGTTGATCCAAATATCCCGCGGAACATGGTGTATGTAAGGTTTGGATGCCATTAGCCGAATTCACAACAATTTCAAAGGGAACCCACATGCAGAATATGATTTCCGTGCATGTTGCAGCTGATAGCAGTTCACTTGATTCTCTCTCATTTGCTGGCCTTGTATGTATTCAAGATCAGCAATCAAAGTCTACTACCGAAAGAGCGTACCAGAACAATAAAGATAACCAAGAGTTCGAGTTTGTTTCTGTTACACCTGGTATAAGTCCCCACAACTTGAAGAAAAATTCCCTTCCTGACATGATAATCTCCAACAGTCATCTCCTGCCACTAGAATTCTTATAGAAATCAGCACAATCTCGGGCAGCCAACAAGCCAGGCTAAAAACAATCACAACCACCATCTCTTTGTGGTAGCAAGATGCCAGCTGACAACCATGCCGATCACACAAAAGTTTCTCATAAATCAAATCAAGCAAAAAATCAAGTTAAAAGGATGCAGACTGCCTCGAGATCTTGGTTTGGCCAGAAATTATTTCAATCATTCGTCTCTCCATGCAGAGAATGCCCAGCTGTCAGGCCAACTATGAAAGCACATGCTGCATCACAAGAAAATATCAAGCTACGCTAATGAAAGCCTATTCTTCTTTTTCATTTTTTCAGAATTGAATCTGCCACCTGAGGTGGAAGAATTTTGTCTGAATCAACCAGACTTTTTAGAGTTAGCATAGTTGAATAAAAGTTGCATAAAGAGGTTTTACTTTTCTCAAAATGGATGATATACTACAATGATAGTTACAGAATTACATGATCACTCTCACATTCTAATAACTTTGTTAATATCCAAACCTAAACAACTTAACAATATAAATTATGGCATTCTAAAGAAAATCGGAGGGGCTGTCAAGAAGTATGATTTGGAGCTAAATTTCCCAAGAATTGGTAGATGTTAATGATCGTGGTTCTCTAAATTTAGAATATATCCCTATAAGAAGCTACCTTTCACTTTTATGTAATGCGTTTGTAGTTTTATAATAGACTATAACATCATTACTTCACATGATAGTCTATTCACCAAATAGTTCTGATTCAAACCTTAATAGAAGGGAAAATAGCAGTAGCAAATTGTTAGGTTTTTTTTTTTCCTTTCTTTTAATCACATAAAACTGACCTATGAATTATGAAACCAGTCTAACAGTGCCTATGATGATGTAAGTGACAACATGATTCTAAGTGAATATATAATAACAAAATCATCACGGAGAGGGACAAAAATCAAAAGCAACTACTTAGGCATATCTACTATTAAATCACTAAAGAAAAGGTATGTCTTAAGCAAAATGAGATAAGCACCTCACCCTGTTAATCTCCTTCTACAAGCAAGACAACATCATAGAAAAGCAATATGCAGATGACATCACTAAACACAGAAATCTGAAAACCATTGCGAACAGAGCAAGACAAGCAAAAAAGATGATCAAACAGGAGTAAACCTCAATAAAAACTGCCATGTATTTTAGACCAGTTTGATCCTTAAGCCTGAAGTATAAGAGACCATAAATGTCAATATTCATGTCATCATAACCACAAAGATGAAATTTTGGATTACAACTCACCTAAAATTTTATCGAAAACTGCAGGGTACTATGGAATGAGTTCAAACATTTTTACTACTCACTCATACCTTGTATCCATAAAAAACGTTGAAAAGGCAATGAGTTCAAGAATAGCCAAAAGAGCGTCCCATTTACAGAAAATGTATTAACTGATCTTACATATATACAAGTAAAATCATAATTAACCGTTCCATTGGACTAATGGAAAGATTAACTTAAGCTCCTTAGGAGATTTCCTAACATGCAAGGCAAGAAGAATAACACTCTTAGACTTAGCAACTACTAGTAATCTACATATATTGTAGAAATTCTTTCTACATACAGCAAATAAAGGAAACAAAGAAAATATTAATGAAAAGATTTATGAGAATAATCCAAACACTCCCAGTATGCTCAATTTAATATGTTGAACACAGCCTCAAACAAATTGTTGAGGACCTCCATTAGTAAAATGTGCACAAAACTGTACAAATACATAAGCATTCTGCCTAGCATGTCAAGATTTTCCGTATTTATTGATATATCCCTGTAAAACAGAAAAAAATAATGTCAATTTGATGAATGAATAACATTAAAAAGAATATAAATACTAAATAATAGTCAAATTAATTGATGGAGAAAAGCAATGCAATATTCACACTAAAAAAATATACATTTTTTGGTTGGAGGCAGAGAGGGAGTTGGTAGAAGTTACGGCATCCAGACATTGCCTAGTATATAATACCTCTCAAATCAAAGACTCTCACCTCAACAAGCCTTGCTATTTTTGGTTGGGATGAAGAAAGATACTGCTTGACTGATTCGAAGGTAATTGGAATTTGATGAGGTTGTATGGTGCCAAGAACCTTGTCAACTGCTTTCTTGACTATTGTATTGTGAGCATCTTTACTGAGATGACCATCACGCCAAGTTGGTTTCAAAAGTTCTTTAATTAAATCTACAAGAGCAACACGGAAGTGCCTCATTGCTTTTGACTCTTTGAGCATGTACCCATTTGCCTTATGCTCATCATATATTTCATTCTTTTCTATAACCTTATCTACTTTTAATCTAGACCCATCACTTTGATGCCCACCATCACGACCAGTATCAATTTTGTTCGTCTTTGAAATGTCTTTGACATGAGAGGCAACTGAGGAAATCTCTTCTCTAGCCAGTGTTCCATTTTGCGTGTCAGCTGCAAAAGTCCCATCATCTGCATCAGTTGTAAGTGAATCTTTTCCAGAAGTATAGTTTTTACCATTGACCACATTTTCGCGGTATCTATTATGGCAAGATGCAGTTTTTTTATCACCATTACATTCAGGGACCAGTGGCCCCGTTGATGTAGAATCGGCATATGTTGGTGGACATGCTACATTCAGGGGCGATGGAACTTGACAAGAGAAAGAAAATTTAAGAAACCTCTCTCCTGCATTGGGCAGATCAATGCTATCACGAAGAGGATCGTACTGGCTTTGTGGGGATGATACGCCATAAGTGACAAAAAAGGATGGTCGAAAGGGTATTGATGGTTCCCAATCATCTGAAGAAATTTTTATTCTATTTTCAGCAAAGCGCAATGGATCCCTGACAATATCATTTACTGGAAAGTTTTCTGGTTCAGAACTAGAGAAGGGGGAAGAGCCTTGCAGCAAAGAAGACAGCCTGGAAGTACGGTGGTCTCTGTCATTGTCTGACACCTTGTGAGCACCAAGAGAGCATGCACGTGAAGAACTAAAAGGCAATGATGCAAGCCATGTTGAGACACGATAAGATTGATTCTCACTAGATATATTGCCCAATGATGTAACTGAGCCACTTAATGAAGATATATACTCAGGAAGAAAACTATTCCTGTAGGTAGAACTACCTCTATCATTCAGTGAAGCAGGCAAATTCTGACCTATATTATTTTGTCTTCCATCCTTAGATGGTCTCAAATCATCTGTAGATGAAGAAAACTGCTGACAGAAAGGGGAAGTGTCCATAGATTTATCCTTACTCTGGAGTAAAGGGAACTTATTAATTTCATGAAAAGGATGCAACCTTTGGTTTTCATCATGCCCCAATGGCAGCATTCTTTCTGGAAAGAAATGAGAAGATAATGCAATCTTATTTCCAACTGTTGAAGGCAGTGAATCAGTAGAACCAGGTGATTTTGATCTTTCGGCAGCATTTCTAAAACCTGGTGCATAAGGTTCTTATTAAAATATTGAAGAGGAGGTTCAGGATCATCCATAGCACAGAAAATATTTTGTACCTTCATCAAGCTGAACAGCTCTTTTCCCATTTGCTGTGGCTACATCTTCCTCAGGCTGTTGTGTAGGATTATTCACACTATCTTTTATGTGAAGAAATCTACATGAGCTTCCTTTGACACACCACCCTTTAGCAAAGAAGTCACATATAAGTGCAGGGCGTTTGTTCCCACTATTAAAAGCAGCACGAGGGGACAGACTTCCGGTACTAGTCTGAAAAGCAGCAGATCTGTAAAACCTATTGATTAGTAAATCAATGGATGTATTATCTAGGGAAGGCAGAAATTCACTGACAAAAAGGACAAAATAAGAAGCTTAGATTCACTCTATGTTATAATAGGCATATACGAATCACTAAACCTTGATTTTATCCTCATCTTATCATCCTCTGTTTGTGCGTCCATTTGCTTACATTTTTCCTCAAAACCTAGAGCCTTAACTCCTCCTGAATGATATCTGATCGGGATTGAAGTAATCTCATTGATAGCAACCTCTTTGCCAGTAACACTGGATAGATTAGTAGTCTCATACATAATCTCATTGGTAACCAAACGACTCTTGCTATTAATATGCTGTTCATGGCGGTCTTCAGGGGCTTTTCTATCTAAAATGACTCGAGCATCTTTTACACTAACCGCATAATCTTGAGTTGCATTTTGCTTTGCAGGCTGTTTTCCAGATGTTGGATACTTGAACTCCTCATAATTTGTGCATAGATCCTCCCTTTGTGTTACCAATGACTCCTTTGGAAGACTAGAAAATTTGAAATTAGCACTACTCTCTCCTACATTAAAGGTTTTAGATGGTATCCTCTTTTCAAACTTTCCAGGAATAGAAGAATCTGATCCCAGGCGTCCATCTTGCCCCTTGGACTCCACAATATTACTAGCATCTACATGGAAGAAAAACTCAATCAAGATGACGAGATAACCAACATTTCCAGTCACCACTATGAAATAGTACTTAATCAGATCCTATAAAAGATAAAGTCTTTAGATTTTGTTTTCTTATAAATTGGGGTACCTGCACTGCTGCTTCACTTTGTTTTCTTATAAATTTGTTTACCTATAAAAGGTGAAGTCTTTACATTTTGTTTTATTACCAAGCCAAAGGAGAGACAAATAAATTGGGATACCTGCACTGCTGCTTCATTGCAGTATAGCAGGAACAACTAAAAGATAGACCAATTCACCTAATGTTAACACATCAAGCATCAAGCATCTAAGCACAAGCCCCAACATAGAGAGAGGTCAGCAACAGTGCATTACTGCATGTTAAAGCTAACTGCAAACCACAAAAATGGGTACAAAATTACTAGGGCTCAATTGAAAACCAATCCAGTTGTTGAATACTCATAATTAAAATTCAGAACCTTAAAGTGCACTAAATCTTTAGAGTGTGTTTGGTTCGGGGTAATCTACAAATTTTCCTCCAGAATTTTAATGGTGGGTATTTGTTTCCCATGTTTGGTCCAGGGTGATCCAATTACGGGGGAAAATGTCATGTTCTCAACAGTATCCAAAGTCTCAGAATCAGAAATCCACCTCTCCCTATGGTATTTTAGGATTCTGAAGGGGAAAGTTGACTTATTTCCAAATTTGACCTGAATAAAAAATGTCACATATCCGTTACCCTTTTGAAAAGCAAGTCTAGAACTCAGTTTTAGCTTTTTTTCAAAAAAATATGCCTTATTTTTAATTTAGTTTTAATATGTGGCAATTAAGGCGTTTCAAGGAAGAAACACCTTAATTGATTTGAAATGCCTTAATTGATAATCAATTAAGGCGTTTCTTCCTTAAAACGCCTTAATTGCAACAAAAGCATTAAATAAGGCATTTCTTTGAACAAACGCCTTATTTGACCTATTCAAATAAGGCGCTTTCTTTTACAAACACCTTATTTGATAGATGATCTTCCAAAATCTATACAAAAGCATCAAATAAGTCATTTCTTTGAACAAATGCCTAATTTGAACCATTCAAATAAGATGTTTCTTTTACAAATGCCTTATTTGATAGGCGATCTTTCAGAATCTTACAAAAACAAATAAGACGTTTCTTTGAATAAATGCCTTATTTGATTTTTTTTCAAAATCTTTACAAATTCAAATAAGGCATTTCCTTTGAACAAATGCCTTATTTGATGCTTTTTCCAACATATTTATAAAAACAAATAAGGCGTTCAGCTCTTCCAAACACCATAATTGATTTTCTTTTATATTTTAATACAGCAATTACGGCTTAATGTCTAGTTAAACACCATAATTGGGTATATTTAATTAAAAAAATTAAAATCCTTCCTTTCTTTTGCTGCTAAAGGCATCATTTGTCGCTTGAGTATTTTTTATCAAAACAAAATAAAAGGTTGCCTATAACTTGTCAAGACGATTATGATAATTATACATGCCAAACAAGTGAATCTAATTACGGGATACCCTGAAAATCAAACAAAACCCCAGGTATCAAACTTTCCCGGCTATTACACTTTCCCCCGAAATCCAAGATTCCACGAACCAAACCCCCCCTTAAATCTTTCTTCCAACATTAAGAATTAATTTTTTATTTTTTTCCTCTGATAGTACAATCTTCTAAGGCCATTGTATATCAATTTAAAAAATCATTACTTTTAAAGCATGCAAATATTTAATTTTAATCTCCTATATTAGAGCAATGAAATGTCATAAAACAATAAACAAGAATATCATCATCATACATATGATTAACGTTCATAATCAACCAATAAAAAATCAATCCACGAATGGTTTAGGGTTGACTAACCATTTCGATTCGAAGAGCCTTGCAAATCCTCTTCTCCTTCATCATCTTCGTCGTCTATTTCCATATCAGAGCTGTTGATTTCTCGCTCCGTGGTTGAGGCGGCGCCTCTTTCATCGTCCTTCTCGGCGCATGGAATAGCAGCGGAGTTTGACAGAGGCATTGCGGCTGTGCCCGGCGCTTTCAACGGCGTCTGTGAACTGGAGGGAGCGGAGAGGAGAGGCAGGTCGTGATGCTATGCGATACTGAGGTGCGCACTACGCACTCAAGGAGTGTGATCTTTAATTCTTTATCTTTCGTCATCGGGATAAGCACCCCCACCTATTTCTTCTCCACGCGCTTCTGTTAGGGCGTGATTTGATTTTTGGAAATTGAGCTCCGGCTTCAGCCTAAAAGATTTGAACCTTGGTTTTTGGGTTCTAAATAGCCTAATGGCCCATGATGTGTTCTAAATGGCCTTTGAACTTGATATTTCTATATTAATTTAAAATTCTAAAAATTGAGTTTGTTGATGTGATGTTCTTTTTGTAAACTTATTTACCGTACGAATCAAAACTTTAATAAAAATTAGATTTAATAATTTGTATATTTATATTATATAAATTATTAAAATTTTTATATTTATATTATATTTTATATAAAAATTATATGTAATAATTAATATTGATATAAAAATATAAAATATTTTTTTTAATTTTGTTGAAGTCACATATAATTATTATTAAAATTTTAAGTCATATCACATTTATATTTATTCAATATATAAGATTATAATAAAATAAAATAAAATTATATTAAATAATATTATTTTATATTATATTTAAATATGAAAGAATTATAATAAAATAATTTATTTATTAGTTAAATTATCATTTTTTAAAATTTATACAATTTAAATTATTAATATAAATTTTAAAAATATAATAAAACACATAAATTCAATCTTAAAAATTAAAAATAATCTTTTTTTGAAAAGATTAAATTATTTTATACTAAAAAAATAATTAATATTTCTTGTAATAATTTTTTATTAAATATAAATTAAATATAATATAAAATAATAAATAATTATTATTTTATTTTATTCATCATCTTATATATCAAACATAATTTTTATTTTTTATTTTCATATTTAATTCGTCTCATCCTATTATATCATATTTTAAACTATAAAATCTAATAAAAACGGCGCGACGACTGCAATCAGAACGATGCGGAACTTCACATATTCCTCAGTTTTTAAGTGTTCAAGAAGATCTACTGGACCATGGTTTGGGACACACCTCTGATGGGCCGGTTGTTGTGGTTGGGCTGCAGATAAATAACAACGCTTCATTCCTTCACGACTCATTATCATTATCATTTTATTTTGGAAACCAAACAAAGAAAACTTCAATCATAGACGAAAGGAACGTTTGTTATAAAAGATTAAAGATTCCAAAAGAACAATGGAAGAAGCCAACACACAACCAAGCTAGAGACTGACATGGTTAAGCCGAGCATGTTGATGTTTGAAATCCATACATTTAATATTAGACATGCAGATGCAAGAAAAATTGTAATGATTAAGGATGTAAGTGATATATTAGTATTCGTAAGTTACTCGAATTTGATTCGAATAAAATTTAAATTCAATTTAATTATTATCGAACTTGACTTATTGATCAAGCTAAATTCGAGTATTCTTATATTAGGTTCGAGTAACTCGCGAGTCTAATTAAACTTTTATATTTAAATTTTTATTATTATTTTAATTAATAAAATATTTCAAATTCGAGTTCGAGCTCTTGTTGAGTATAAGAATAGAGCTTTTGTTAAGTATAAGAATTAAATTTATTTTAACATATTAATTGAGTTTAATCGAGTAAATTTGAGTTGCTTGATTTCGATTATGAACCAAACTCGAACTAAAAAAATAAAATCTGATAGAATTTGAATCGAATATCAAATTTCCTATTGAGAGTTGAATTCGAACTTGAATTTCTCATTGTATTAACTCTACTCGATCTGATTATATCTTTAATCATAGTTAAACTGAGCATGTATTACATCCCAACCGCACCCCCCCCCCGGCCTACATGCTCCGAAGATATACAAGAGTTAGTATCTTTTTTTAAAGTCAAGAAGATAATAATTTAAAAAAAAAAAAATCGACAAGAAAGGATCATGTTTGTGTTACTTTTGTAAGTATTTTAGTTAAAAAAACAAGAAAAAGGGTAAATACACAATTGCTTTTACCTCATTTGCTAGATATCAGATCATAGTTCCGAATTAGACAAGAAAGTGTGGTCCATGCATGCATGGGATTCGATTCCATAACCATTTATAATCTCTTGTTATATGTCCACATAAGACATAACTAAACTGGAAACGTCATTTTGTCATAAGAAAAAAAGGCCAATAAAGACAATACTTTCTTCTAAAAAAATACTTTGAAGTGCTGTTTTTTTTTTCTTTTAATGAATTGTTGTAACGTCTCTCTCATGGTGTGTCAGCTAACCTAACAAACAAAAATAAATTTGACACGAGTGCTTATTCCAATTTGCCAAAATAATAAATACTTATAATGTTACTATTAAATTAATCAACTGCAACCATATCCATTATTTTCATTACCAAATCATTAAATGCTTGTTTAAATGCCTAATAATAACAACTATGGTCATTTTTATTGTTAAAAATAGGAATATATAATTAATATATATAAATAAAACAACAAACTATGATAATTTTATAGGTTTTTTTTTATCTTAACGAACTCCATTGTGTTGAGATTATTGCAAAATGTTGATATACTTTAATTATAGTAATAAAAGTTTATTTTATAGTAAATAGATAAATTTTATTTTAAATATTTAATTAGATAATTTTAATTTTTAATTAATAAACTTGATTTTAGTTAAAATGTTATAAATGTGATTAAAGTTAAACGACATCAAACTTCTTGATAACTCTAGTAGAATCTAATTTATGATGGATCACGCACTTATAAGAAAGAATTGCTTATAATGTGAAAATTAACTCATTTATTTATACATAATTATAAAAGAGTTTGTATTTATATAATATGATATGATAGTAAAATTATTTAAAATAAAATTAAAAAGTTAATATATAGCTCACTTATTTTTAATTTTTTTAATATTATCTTAAAATTTTAAAATTATATAAATAAGAGAATTTTTCATTAATTATAAAAGAGTTCGTGTCTACATAATTTGGTAGTAAAATTATTAAATTTTATAAATAAAATTAAAAATTAATATATAGCTCGCTTATTTTTTAAATTTTTTAATATTATCCTAAAATTTAAAAATTATATCAATAAGATAATTTTTCATAGTAAAATGATAATGATAAAAAAAAAAAGAGAAAAAAAAATGATAGAACCATATTGTGGCAATTGACCCGATTTCTCAGTTTAGTTGCCTACTGCTTACTTTTGGCACGCACTACTCCGAGGATTGCGCAACAATTCGTGTTGCAATAAAGGTCAAAAGAAATTCTCAACTTTGACTTGCATCCTCGGCCGTCCGATCTAAAATCAAAATGAACCTCGAAGTTCATTTTCGTAAACTCAGCGAATTTTTCACTCCTCCTCGTCCTGTGGACTATTGCTCTCTCCGCCTCGTCACGTGGCTTCTGTGTTCTGTCGTTTGTTCTACAAACGCATATCTTACGTGGAAAAAGCAATAAAAAATTTATTTGGACTTATCTTAGCAATTACCTCCACCCGCAAACATCATCTCATGTCACCACCAGTCATAGAAAGGTAGGCCCCTCTTTCAGATCTCTACCGCCATTGTACCCGTACAATTCCGACTTGACTGAACGTTTTCTAATCACCTTTGCAGCCGTCAGATCAAAAGCTCCATTGCCCATTGATGAAGCTCACCTGTACATTAATATCACCTAATTTCTTTCACGAGTCAACTAATAATGAAGGAAAAAAAAAGTTAAAAATTCCCCAACAGTTGGTGCAAACACGTCCCCAGCAGTTACTACAATCACTTTCTCTCTCTCTAAAAAGCAGGAACACGAAAAGATAGAGAGAATGTGAAAAAGAAAAGCAAAAAAGGAGGAAGCAAATCGAAGCTTAAGCTAAGATGCTAAGATTTACTCTCTTATGGCTTCTCGTTTTCTTTTTATCTCTCTCTTCATCTTCAGCTCGGCCTGGTTAGCTTCCACTACTGTGATGATTTTTTCTTTTTAATTTCTGATTTAATTTTGTTGTTTGGATTTTTTTTTTGGTTGCTTCGAGACTCGGTTTGGTATATTTGAAGTGTTAGATTACTTGCATTTTGATTGAGCTTGTTATAAACGAGTCTGGATTTTTATAATTCAGTTTACGGTTCGTTCGTTTTCGTCTTTGGTGATTTGCTCGATTGGCTGCTTTTTGAATTGTGAATTTTGTTTTTCGCATTGATGTTAACGAGTTGCAGGATTGAGTCAAATGTAACGGAATCGGGGGATATGAATGTGCTTTTTGTGGAAATTTTAAGTAGATAGTGTCTGGAATCTGGATCAAAGTATGGAGGTAGTTGATCGGTTTGGATCCTGTTTGGATACGAGAAAATGTAGGGAAATGATCGAAACCAAAATTTTAAATGTACTTTTATATTTTGTATGATATGTGATTGGAAATAATAAAGGAATTAATTACAGATGAATTTAAAAAAAGCAAAAGAACGAGAACAATTCTTCCATCACCAAACCGGTTGCTTGTGGATTCTGTAGGTATGGTTGTCTGCTCCATGCCGCATTGATTCATTGCTGTTTACTGCAATGGAACTTTGTCTTGTGAAATAAGAAAACTAAAAGGAGTAATTTGGAAATTTTAAGTGGACTAGCTTATTATATGTGCATTGCCTATTTTGCATTAATGAATTTTCGCTTACAGCTTGTGGATAAAAGAATATTCGCTTTTCATGTTTTTCTCTAATGATTTCTTCTTATTTGGTGGTTTTTGGTGCTAAACTTTGTCATGTTTTTTTACTACAGCACCTTTTGCTATGCGCATAAGCTGTGGCGCTCGTGAAAATGTCCAAACCCCACCAACCTATGCACGTTGGTATAAAGATTTTGCATACACAGGGGGGATTCCAGCTAATGCAACACTACCAAGTTTCATCACTCCTCCACTAAAATCTCTTCGCTATTTCCCTCTATCTGAAGGTCCAGAAAATTGCTACAATATTGATAGAGTACCAAAGGGGCACTATTCTGTGAGGATTTTCTTTGGATTAGTTGCACAGCCTGAGTTTGATAATGAACCTCTATTTGATGTATCTGTTGAAGGCACCTTAATTCATTCTTTGAATTCAGGTTGGACTAGCCATGATGACCAGGTGTTTGCTGAAGCCCTTGTGTTTCTTTTGGATGGCACAGTATCTATTTGCTTCCATAGTACTGGTCATGGAGATCCAGCAATTATTTCTATTGAAATTCTTCAAGTTGATGATAAAGCTTACTTTTTTGGTCCAGAGTGGGGTAAAGGTGTAATCTTGAAAACAACTTCAAGACTGACTTGTGGCACATCAAAGCCAAAATTTGATGAAGATTATAGTGGGGATCATTGGGGTGGAGATAGATTTTGGAACCCCATCAGAACTTTTGGCCAAAATGCTGATGAACCAAGATCAACTGAGAGTAGCATTAAACAAGCTTCAGTTGCACCAAACTTCTATCCAGAAGCCCTTTACCAAAGTGCTATTGTTAGTACTGATAGTCAGCCAGATTTAGCTTATACAATGGATGTGGATCCCAATAAGAACTACTCGTTATGGTTACATTTTGCAGAGATTGATGCTACTATCACCGGTGCAGGGCAAAGGGTATTTGATGTCCTGATTAATGGTGACACTGTATTTCAAGACATAGATGTTGTGGAGATGAGTGGAGACCGCTATACTGCACTTGTACTTAACACAACTGTTGCTCTTAGTGGAAGGACTCTGACAATAACCCTTCGCCCTAAAAATGGCAATCATGCTATCCTTAATGCCATTGAGGTCTTTGAAATTATAGCTGCAGAGTTCCAAACTTTACCAGAAGAAGGTATTACTTTCTTCTATTACTTGTACACTTTAGCTTCTATTTCTTCAGTAGACTGTATAGGCTGTCTATGATAGGACCCAGTATTGGAAATCGTTTTTAACTGCATATAAGCAAGGTTCTTTCTGGAAGGTGGTAGACATTTACTAACTTCTTAATCATTCCTGATTCTAGTTAGGGCTTTACAGGCATTGAAGAAAGCATTGGGGCTTCCTAATCGTTTTGGGTGGAATGGAGACCCATGTGTTCCCAAGGAGCATCCATGGAGTGGAGCAGATTGTCATTTTGATAATTCTGGCAGCAATTGGTTCATTGATGGCCTGTACTTTCTTGATCTTTTGCCCTATCTTTGAGTTTCATTATTATTATTTTCTGCTGATATTATCTGTTATTTTCAATTTGCTTCTGTTGATTTAATGATTTATGTGGAGGAAACTGATGTCTATGCTATGGCATAGCCTCTTCCACTGTTCTTGATATGCTAAAACGTATTATGAATATTTAATTTTCAGTAAAGCAACAAAAAAAAAAGAGAGTTCTAATATTGGTAATCTACATTGCCAGTGATTATGACATTTTCCACATTAAGGATGCTGTTAGTCATAAACTGTTTTCAGCTTTTTGCTATCCTGAAGTAGATTTGAAGTTCTCAAGGTTTAACCAACATCATTCTACATAGTTGGTGTCATATTAAATAAGTACTGAGAATATGTTTGCTATACACAAGCATGGAATCATAGACTCCCAACCACCTATATAGAATTCTCTTACCTAGTTACTCAGCCACTTCATTTACTCCAATTTGCTAGTGAATTAATCTTATCCACTTCAACACCAATGCTTGTAACATACAAGAAGCAAGAAAAAGTCAAAGATGCTTCTATTCATCTCCTTTCCCTGCTTTACTCTTCCATTTGGTTTTCCCTAACCCACTAGGCCTGAATTTCTGCACCTTATTCATTCTCATCTGTGACTCCTGAAGTGTGGATGCATGACAAACTAAATGCACTGGTTAGATTTTGGAAAGGAACCACATCACTTATTTAAAGTCTGCCTGCCATGCACCGGTGCTGTAGTGCACATTTATATGTATAGCAAAGTGTTTCCTAGAATCTAAATGTTTTAAACTTTTAATTGCAACCTTGTGATGAGATTCATGCAAAGCTTAAGATACAGTCTCTTCATCAGTTATATTGGTATATTATAAGTTATTGCCTTCTGATTTCTGCATGATCAGTGGTCTTGACAATCAAGGTCTAAGGGGTTTCTTGCCTAATGAAATATCCCAACTACATCACCTGCAGAACTTGTAAGTACAAATAGTTCTCCATCACTTTCATTATAGTTGCTTTTATTTGTTATGTTGGGCATTAATCATGATCTAAGGGCAGGGCCTCATCTGCTTGTTGTTTTAGACCTTGAGAATATAGTAGCATTGACATAAAACTTATTTGCCTTTATTTGCTTTCACAGACTGTTGCAAGGGTTTTGCTTACTCTTAATTTTACAAAATATGAACCTCATATATGCCTAATATCCCTTTCTCTTGTTTATGATGTGCTTGGCTTTTACAGAAACTTGAGTGGAAACTCAATTCATGGGACCATTCCGTCGTCACTTGGAACAGTCACCAGCTTAGAAATATTGTAAGTGTAGCATTATTTCTTGTCCTTCTTGAAGATACTTTTGATTGTATTAACTTCTATATTTACATTCCAAACTCTTTGAAATAATATACTTTTTATACAGTTAGGACTGTCATATATATAGGACAACTCTTGTCTATTTTCTCCATGATAGATTTTGCGTAACTTGTTTGTTCCTTTTCATTTTTAAAGACAGACACATTATAGTGTTGGGAGGAGGTTTTTCAAGGACCCAAAACTTTTCTTCATTAGAACTTTTACTTCCCAAGTTATGTGGAACATAATGTGTACGAGCTATTGATTAAAACAACTTACAACTTAATGACTGTAAACCTTGTCAGTATTTTCTGCATGAACATGTGACGATAAGTTTGATAAAATCATCATGTCTAATGTGTTGTAGATCAATGATGCATCCATGGAGTTGTTAGTTATATCCTTTCAGTAGCCGTCATGCTTGAAAGGGCATTAAACTCTGCATGCACGAAATTTACATTCTTCTCTTAATGGACAATTTGAGTTTGATCTAATATCTAAGCTTATGAGAAGCACATGACTATTTCAGTTCATCATTTATGTTTCCCTGAACTTTATCCAACTTATCGAAATGATGTCTGGATATAAATTGCAGGGATCTCTCCTACAATTTCCTCAATGGATCAATTCCTGAAAGCCTAGGACAGTTGACTGCATTACGCAGACTGTAAGATTCAACCATTGATTAACTTTGGAATCTGAACATATAAAGGAGGAGTTTGATTTAAGTTCTCATTGTGCAGGAATCTTAACAGCAACTCTCTGTCAGGAAGAGTTCCAGCTGCACTTGGAGGAAGGCTTTTGAATGGAGCTAGCTTCAAGTATGTTCTCAGAATCTTGTTAGTATTGGTCTGAAATGTTTCTCTATGAGGAATGAACTTGTCACATAATGATGATAAGGAAAGAAATACTTAGATAAGATGAAAACAAGAGCATGCACTTACACGTCTATTATTCCAAGTTCTGTCCCAGATACTTAATCTAGTTGTATGCAGTTTCACCGATAATGCTGGTCTCTGCGGCATACCTGGATTACGTACATGTGGACCCCATCTCTCTGCTGGTGCAAAAGTTGGCATTGGCTTTGGTGCATCTTTGTGTTTCTTACTGCTTGTTATCTGTTCAGTGTGTTGGTGGAAAAGGCGGCAGAATATACTTCGATCAAAGCAGATTGCAGGTTAGTACCTTCGGGATAAATCTCATAACAATTATAACAGTTTTATTTGGCCTAATAACTATTTTGAATGTTAAAATCAATTGGTTTAGATCCCTTGGACTGGTATAAAATGAGACACCCTATGTGATTAATGCCTGCAAAGTTGCTTCTTTTACCCAGAATATGGGATGACAAGGACATTAAATCAAAGTTTGCACTAGCAACATTTATTAGTTTTCTTTTCATTGCATATTTTATATTTCCTTCTCTTTAGCAGCAAGAGGTGCTCCCTATGCAAAGGCAAGGACCCACTTGTCGCATGATATCCAGATGTCGAGGCATCATAATCATGGCCATGCTCGGACAGCTGCTGAGAATGGACCTAGCTTGCTATCGTGATTAATTAGTGTTCCAACTCTTCGTCTTGTTTGGGTTGCTGGATTCTCATTCGATCATGAATACGAACTGCAGAACAACCTAGTTGATTTGGCCCTCTCAGTTTCTTTAGTTCATGATGCTGTCTAATCTTCCTTCCCTCCGGAAATCATCACCGGTAAAGCTGTAAAAAGCCTATAGAATCACATCTAAAAGGTCAGATACCTCAACAATGACAGTAAATGCAGCAAAGTGAATCGTCTTGTACATCGCTTCAATTCTTTTTTTAATCAATCTTGGCAAAAGAAATCTTGTAACAGATTGAAGAACTAGTGCATATACAAAATCAATATTTATCCACCTAATCTTCTCTGTAGTAAATTCAGAAAGGAAATCGACGTCGACTGGCTCCATCGGGTCCTGGCAGAATGGAAACAGTGGACATAATTCTCACAGGAGTAAGCTGTAAGCTTATTTTCTTTGCTTATATGTTTATATGCTTATATTTTCTTTGCTTCGTTTTCTTTTTCAAGAGACTGCTGTTTAGAATGTTAGCAAATGTGTATGTCCAACCGGTCATGTTTTTCTTTTACAATTCTATGCAAATAAATTTTTATGATGACTTGGGAAAGGCCTATTGCACATTGTTCATTCTAACACGTGTCATGACGCAACAATCCTCAAAGATGGTTAAAAAATTTTATAAATTAATAAAAAATAAACAGAAGATGAAAACAGAATCCAAATACCATGAAAATAACTTCACGTGATCATGTGTCACAGTGTCAGGATCATGGGCAGTTACCTGCATTCATTCGCCTACATCACCCTCTCACCGGGCACTTTCCCCAGTTTTCACTTTACCCAAACCCAACCCAACACTGGACACCACTTTTTCCTGACTCCCACAGCCGCTCAAAACCGAGTCAAACACGACACCTCAAAATTAAACTCACTCAGTACCGTAGCAACTCGCTCTTGTCTCCTGCAACTCGGACAACTCCGTTTGTACATTCTACGTGGGGTCTCACTTATTACCTAACACGCCACCCCATGCGCTCTGGTGCTCTGCCATCCGCCCTTATAATCATCGTCACCATGTTCAAACATTTTTTTTTCTTCTTTTCTTTTCTTTATTTATACTGAAATATTTGAGGCATGCGCCGCTAGCAGTGCCGTATAAACGGAGTACAGCATACGTAAGCACCGGCCAGGAGTATAGGCACATGACAGCCTCCTCTACTCTCACGTCTAATCAGACGGCGGTTCTCTATTTTTTAAGATTGTTTTTCATTTTTAAAAGCTAGGCCCACCTTTTTTCTGTGTGTTGTAATAAATAATACATACAGCAAAGGTCTTTATGCTGATGTTTATGAAATGAATGGCCGCCGTTAGATCAGCTTCAAAGTTAAAATTCATAGATATGAGAATCAAAGGTTGTCCATTTATTTAAATAAAAAAGGAACTCTCCGTGTAAGGAAAAAAATTTAGATAAAATTTTTCTCGGGATTGTTCGACGTGGCTTGCCTATAGATTTGAATGAACCTCCTCCTTTCGTGGCTGTGAAAAGCCAGAAAAAAAAAAAAAAAAAACTTGAAAAGGGAGTTAGTAACAAAAACAATCATCAGATCATTTAAAAAAGCGAAGAACCTTTGTATACATATATGTTTTCCTTCATTTTCTATAAAACAACTCTCAGCTGTTTTTTTTTATCAATTATTTATGTTTCTCTTTTCATGCAAAATACAGTCAGTAACTTATCCATCGTCGATTTCCCACGGCATAGGGCACTTGATCAGACGGTGAAAAATGAATTCCTGACTGCCTCCCGGAAACCATACAGATTACAGATTCTTTGGTTTCAAGACATAAAGGAATTAATGTTGCGTAAATAAAAATACAAAACAAAAACATTTAAAACTTGAAACACGCGCTGGTGAGGTGAGAGTGAGGATTGTTCCGGGGACTGGACACTTAAAAGTGGAAGCTTTGTTTATTTGTCACGTAAAAATGGGAAGCAATAAGCAAAGCGTGTGGCTTTTGCATTATTTGAGGACGTAGATTTACGTTTGCCGAACGAACACCCCTAGTTGCTTGTGCTTTGAGTGTAAGAAAAGGGAAATATGGGCTTGAAAGAGTGAAAAATTCAGCTCCACAAACTGTAAAAATGTAAAGAAAACCCAAATCGGCTTTAAAAAGTGATGTTGCTAATGTACTATAAAAGGTAAATTTCACTTATGTCTCAAAGTTTTATATTCTAGTTTCACTTTGGTCCTTAATCTCTCAATCATTTCATTTAAAATTCAAACTTTTTCAAAATAGTTTCATTGTGATCCTTCAAATATTCGTATTCATGGATGTCCACGTATAATGATTTCTAATTGCCTATGTAGGATGATATGTATTACCTATGTGAAATTTTTAATTATTATTTTGTAACAAAAACGTTTGATGAAAGCATCAAAAGCATCAAAGTAAAACCATTTTAGAAATGTTGAAAAATCAAATGAAAAAAAAATTAGAGATTTAAGGATAAAATTGAAATCATAATAAAAAGTTTAGTGCTGTGATTGAAATTTATCCGCTTTACAACAGCGGACTGCTTTTTAAACGATGTGGGAAATTTTGTGCCAAAACAAAGTAAAATATTTTAATTTACGATAAGGTATAGTTTTAGTAGGAATCAATCCAATCATGTCTTTTTCTTTCACCGATTCCCATCAAAACACCCACACCATTTTGAAGGTACCAACACTGACAAAAAGCTTGAGGCGGCCTGGGAAAAGCCATTTTCTTTCACTAATTCCACCAAAACTCCCACGCCATTTTGCTGGTACCTCCATTGACAAATGGAACAAACCATAATGTGATTGACGTTGCCTAGGGAAACCCAGATGGGACGACATTTGGGGCTATAGGGTTCGGCACATACCAAGGAAAAACAATGAATGACGGCACCCCCACCTACGCCATCTATCTCTTTTTCTCTAAATTTAATCATTTTTTTAACTTTAAATTAAGTGTTACACATGGATGAAAATAGATCGGTCGGATAGATTTTATACTTTTAACATTTGATTTAATTTTATATTTATAATATTTAAATTTAATTTGATTTAATAATTTTTTATTTTTTAAATATTTAATTTTGATTTAATATTATATAAATTATATTTAATTCGATTCGATTAAAATTTAATAAAATATTATTTTTAAATATAAAATTAAATAAATATATAAATATATATAATTAAATGATTAATTAAAAAATATTATATATATCAGGTTTACTCAAGTAACGTTTACTTAAAATGTAATTCTAACTTGAATTTGATTTTTTTTTTTTATTTTTTAATTTGACTTTACTTAAAACTTTATTTAAAAAAAAAAAACGATTTCAAGAAGTCATATTAGATCAAAACTCACTAAAAACAGATTTAACTGTCATTTTTAATGTTATAATAATTTATTGAATCAAATTTAATTGATTTTTTCGTAAATATATAAAATTTTAAAATTTAATTTAAATTTGAAATGAATTTTTATATATATGATTCAAATTAAATTTTATCGATTTAATTCAGTTCATTAATTTTTAAATTTTATTTTTATTTATTATTTAATATAATTAAATAAATTTAAATACAAAATAATAATTTTTATTTTATAAAAATTAAATATATATAATTAAGTTTTGTTTTATTTTTTATTTTAAAATTTAAAATTTGATCTAAATTTAATATGTACATTTAATATATAAATTTAATTCACATCAAATAAAAAAAAAACTAAACACTATAATTTGAAATTAACTTTTATTTATTTTAATTTTTTTACCCTTAATTTAAATCATGTTACTTCATTTTATAATCAACCCAAACAGAATTTCTTTCGTTGGATTTTATATGGTGTGTAACGTTTTGACAACGGTTTTTTTCCACCATGATTTGTGATCATCATGCAAATCAAGACAATTTCATTGACGAATTGAATATGTTAATCCAAGGCTCACTACATAGTATCAAACTAACAATTTTTCATCAATGCCGTTTCCAAATTGCTACAGTTTGACCACTTTCTTTCCTACTCTCCCTTTTTTATACACCAATCATTATGTATCTTCATCAAACTAGAAAATGAAATCAAGCTTGCTGGGAGCTTTGGATTTTAATGTTTTGGGGGCAATTTTAATTTTATTGGACGGCCGGATTGCAAGATTAAGGAAAGGTAAATTTTTTTTTTTTAAGAATTTAGACTGATTAGAGTTATTGGTTATTGGATTTTTTAAAGAATTTTTAAATAAAATATTAAAAATTCAAAATTTTAACCTACTTAATTTTATAAATAATTAAAAAACTACATAAAAACAGTCCAACACGCTAACTTTCTGCGATTCTCTTCCTTTTTACATTTTGCTTCTGTGCGTTAGCAGTCACTTGGCTTCATCACCATCATCACGGCTGCGGCTGCTGCACCCAACAGGCCGTTATTTCAAACACCCACTTCATCTGGTGGTCCCCATCTACAACGTTTTCAAAAGTGGACCCCTCGTCAAACTGCACGTGGCAACCTTACAACGTTGCGGCCGCTCCTCACCAACGAATCTGTCGGCAGGCAATGCGTCACGGGTACTCCTGACGTTACGAACAAAAGAAATAGTAAGTGCTACTTTTACTAAATTTTTGCTTCTGTAGTCTGTTTGTTTTGTGCTTTTTCTTTTATCGTACAGAGAGAAACTCCGTGATCCTGTCGGTAACGGCGGCAGCGACGGTTTGACGTCGTTTTTAATAGTTCACACGAATCCGTTTTCCTTGTCTCGTGTTTCTCATGCCTTAATATCTGTTCGAATTTCATCGTATTTTTAAAGTGATGTAATTAAATTTAAATATTAATATTAATAAAATTAAATTAATATAAAATTTTATTAAAATTTTTATTTATAATTATAATAATATTATTATTATTTTTAATTTAATTACATCTAATCTTATCGTTTATCCAAACAATATTTATCCTTTCGGGATTACGATTCCCACTTCCCGCATATTTAATTACGTGGCAGCCATTAATGATGGATCATGCTTCATCCATGGGTGTATGAGATTTCAAGTGGTCATTACGATTGGTTTTGACTTTCACTCACCGCTTTTAAAAACATTTTTTTTTAATTTTTTCTGATTTATTTTCCTGTCAATTAATTTATTATAGTTCATTAAAAAATAAAAAAGAAGAATCAAAAGCTTAGTCTAAACGCATCCTTTTGACAGTGGTAAAGAAGATTCTGATAGTTACGTTGGATATGAAATGTGTTGGACGGTGGCTAAATCCTGTTGGCTAATTCCGCGGGCCCAGTGTGGAAAATGTACAAAGGAGCTGATATAGGAATATCTTTAAATCTTTTAAAAGAACAAAACTACTAAATACGAGCAAACAGTCATTCCAATGCATCTCCAGATCATGGAGATAAAGAGGGACCCACGAAAATGATTTTTCTTTTTTTTTTTTTAATATAAAAAAAATGGTCTCAAAAGGTTGTTAGTAAGTATATTTTCTATGACTTTGAAACAATTGTTTTCCTTTTAAAGGGAATAATAAAGGGGGAAAGACTTAAAAAAGACGAAAATTTTCAAGTGAAATTTGAAAAAATTTTAATTAAAAATAAAAAATAAAAATAAATATATTGAAAATTTTTGTTATATAAATTAAAATTATAAATTTTAATAAATATATTTTTAAAATAAATTTTTTTAATAAAAATATTAACAAAATTTTTAATGTTGAATAAATATCGATTAAATTTAAATTATAAATAATATTTTATATATTATTAATTTTTACATTAAATTCTATCAATTTATTATTTATTAAAATTTTTATTAAATAATTTTTGAAAAAAAAAACTTACAAACTTCATTTAAAAAAGTTTATATAAGTTTTCTCCTAATAAGGGGAGGATTAAAGTTTTGATCGGTGAGCCACGGAGCATTGGCCAGGTTTCTATCCCCGGTTCCTGCAATGCCAAGGGTGTTTAGCAACTTTTCTAATGCTTGTTAATTTGCATGGAAATAAAAATTTTTGGCACACGGTTTAGAATTTATAAACGAAAAAAAAAAAACATTTCTAATTCTATGCCTTTATTTATGCTTTAGAGATTGTACGATGAAATGGAGATGAAACACTTGCTGCCTATGAGAAAAAGGGGGAACGAGAAAGGCTTGAAAAAGGTGGGAAAAAAAAAAAGTAAGAGAATGGACAAAAGTAAACGCTTCGTTTCATTTGTTTGTTTTAAAAAAAAAAAAAAGAAAAGAAAAGAAAGAGCAATGAAGAAGGGAAAGGGAAAAGTAGACCCAAACACAATGAAATTTAAAGTATATGTTCATATTACAACCACGATTTGGTCTTATTGTTGTCTAATTTTGGATTTTAATTAATGCGAATTTTATTAATGCTCTATTTGGATAGATAATAAAATTAATTATAATAAAATTAAAAATATTAATAAAATTTATTATAATTGCAATAAAAAAATTATTATAACTATGATTAAAAAAATTTATATTAAATTAATTTCATTAAAGTTGATATTTTGATTAAATTAAAAGTATGATGAATTTGATACGATGAGATCCAAACGACTACTAATTCTTTCGAATGAGGGTTTAAATTTATATGATGAAAATGGGTTGTAAAAAAAAAAAAAAATTATAGTGGAGAAGAATGATCAATGCAGATATAACCAAAAGTCATTAAAGATAGACAGAAACCGGGGAGATATATGGTAATGGTGGCTCATGCTTCGCACTAGCAAAGAAATTCCATGGCGATGAATGATGACAAATTGACTAGAAATTGCCGGTCTTCTTAGTGGTATCGGAACAATAGTAGGATACCATCATGGAGAAGACTCTAGTTCATGACTCATTGTAGAACTAGTGGGGAACATGATCGACGAATAAACTTGGCGACTTACGTCTAAAAGTTTGGCTTCGTATCAGCTTTCAAAAGCAAAGCTACGGGACTAACGATGGTTGGCACAAGTGGTAAGGGATGAGGTTTTGGTGCTTAAATATCACGGTTTGAGTTTCTTATAGTCTTTCATAAGTAAGCGATTTGTAAATCTAAAAAAATTGTAAATGAAAATCTAATGAATCGATAAATTCTATTTGAATTAGCAACTTACCTTGATATTGAAAATTGGATAATCACCTCTACTCTTAAAGTTTTTCGTACTAAAAGAAAAAAAAAGAAAGCAAAGCTGTGGGGATTGTACGATTAAGCCATCCAATCCCAAGTAGATTTCTTTCTGTTTATGTTTTATTGTAGCCTGTATCATGTTTCTATAGCAATCTAATGTGGCTTTCAATCATGGAAGAAAGCTCGCCATGTTGCCGCTTTAAATCAACTATTATTTAATATGCAGCTTAATTCAGGAACGACTATAATATTTGTGTTAATATTTGTGTATTTGTTTTAATTTTTCATGTGAAAATTATTGACGTTGTTTCACATATACAAAGGAAATGGATAGGGTTGTTTTTTAGATTCACGTTCACATGGGGAAAAATGTACTTGCGATAAACGAATATTCTAGGACGCCAGAGATTCGAGATTACTATCCATTACTTGTTGCAATGCACGGATTAAAAAGAAAGAGGACAAGACAAGGGAATGAAAACATGTAGTTACGTATCTCGTCGTCACGTGTTGGCGCTGTCAGATTCTATCCACACCGTGTCTGACGGCTGTAACGTTATCCTGAATTCCTGATGACATGTGCGACGATGATGGCTAATTCATAGCTTTCATTTCCTAGCTTCCTCGCTTCGCTTTCAAAATGCCACCCTACAAATCGTCATTACCCTATTTGAATTACACACAGCAGCGTCTAAATTGCTTGCATTTACTCATGTTTCGGCCATGCTTTTTTTTTCATAGCTTGTGTTGTACTTCTCATAGTTGTAGGCAATCTTTGTTACTTAAGAATTAGGACAAACATTAAAAAGGAAAAAGCAACGATTAGACATGGAAAAAAAAATGAGTGATGGAATAAATAAACTTTTTAAGTAGAGATTTTTATGCTTAATAACTACTAAACAACAATTAGACAAAGGCCAAGATGACGAATAAGTGAATTTATAAGGCGAAAACGACGTAGCTTTATCCTGCTAGAATTGAAAAAGAGCTTGAGAGAGAGAGAGAGAGAGAGAGAGATATGAAGTGTTGACATACGCAAAAATAAAAAATAAAATAAAAATTAATTTAAAATTACAATATTTAATTTGATTTAAATTAATTTTTTATTTAAATTAAATTAAATATTAAAAATATATATTAAATTCAAATCAAAATAAAAAAATAAAAAAATAAATCAAATTAAATTATATATTTTTTATGTTTTTAAATTTTTATAAAAAATAATGATTGTATATAAATATAATAAAAATTTTATAAAAACAATATATAAAAACAAAAAAAATTAAATTTAAAAATTAATAAATTAATAAATTAAATCAAATCAATAAAATTTAATTTAAATTAAATTAAATTTCAAAAATTTATAATATTATATATTATTTAAAAAAATTGAATCAAATTGATCCGTTATCTCTACATTATCTCTAAAAATAAGTAGCTAAGAAAGAGAGAAAATGAACAAATAGATAGGGAGAAAAGTGTCACCTCAAGGGGCAGCAAAAGTCCACTTAAAAAGCCGAGAGATAAGGCTATTAGTTCTAGATACAGCCCCGCCCCCACACCCTGCCTTCCACCTAACCCATTTTCGCCTTTCGGCCCCCCCTCTGTTATTATTATTTGGCGGTTGCATTTTTTCTAAATTTTATTTTAATATAAATATGTTTAATGCTCTTTCTCTTCAACGCGAAACGTGGCGCAGCACCAGGCGGCAGCCTTGTCTATCGAAATCAAGGCGGTGGAGGAGGGTGAAAAACAAAAAATGGGTCCCACAAAGCAATCAGCTTTAACGCAAACAAGCTAACCCGCCGGCGCAATTGTCTGTCCCAATCCGACACCTCACCTTTCCTCACGGCTTCCCTGCGCCGTACTCTCCATCCCCCAATCCCCATCTTTATTTCTTTATTTTTCTATTCCCACTACCTTTATTGTTATATCTCATTTTTTAATTATTAAAATAATATTAAAAAATAATCCTTTTTTTGTCATGCCATGTCGTTCACCATGCATGACAATTGCAAATTAGTGACTTAATGTCAGACCCAAAAATTCTGAACCGTTTAATAATACAAAAATAAAAAAAATTATAATTTAAATTTTAAATATGTTAAATTATTTTTTAAAACAAATTAATTAAATTTAAATTACGCGGCGTGAGGAACATTGGGTTGACCCGAATTGGTATGGGTCTACGGGATATGCTTGGCAAAAAAAATTTTTTAAAAATAAAGTTTAATAATAACAGGATAATGAAAATAAAAAATTATTGGTTAATGATTTAGTGATTTTTTTTTTTATTAAAAGAAAACGTGGGAAAGCGAAATCTTTAAGCGTAGACATCGACGACCAAAGACCGGGGGCCACAAAAAGCGGCAGCCGAGCGTCCCCACTACCACTTCCAACGCCCGCGTCCACGCGGACCCGTCTTGTAACGTTCCCTTCCTTATTCCCTTATTGGTGTTTAAAAATTTTTTAAAGATAAAAAAATTACCGTAATGATTAGATTTGGAAGTGGAAGACAAAAACACCCGCAGGGAACGGAGGGCCGTTCCGTTCAGACACGGATCTCGACAATTACCTTTCGGTCTCCTAACTAGAAGAAACCCGCTCCTTATGTTTTATCCCCCTCACGCGCCGCTTGTTTTCCTTTCACGCCCATTGCCGTTTCAGAGTAAAACAAAGAAAAACAAAAAAATCTCAAAGATTACATTGAATCTTGCAATTAAATTCCGAACCGTCCAAAGTTATTGATTGTAGAACCAATAATTGACAAACCAGCCGGTTTTCCCTCCATCTTTAAATCTCTTGATTTGTTCTCCAACAAGCATGAAATTTTAGTTATTGCCAGCAATTAAACATCACAAAACGGTTAGTTACATAATTTTGTTTGCCCCAGGTTTTGGATATCTTGTGGAATCTGTTCTAATTTTCTTTTAGAAACATAGTTTTGAGGAATCTCTGGTTGTAATCGGTTGATATTTGCCTTTCGATAGTGTTAAAAATGGCAATTACTGAAACCCATCTCGATTTTCAAAATTAGAATGATAGTATTTTGCAAATAATGAAAGTTGGCATTAAATCAATTCACTAACCAACTTAACCAAAAGAGGTTATTAAATCCAAACAGGCCATAAACATAAAATTAACAAAAGAGGGAACTGCTGAAGGATTTTTTTTTTTTTGTGATAACTCATTAGGAAAAACAAATACAGTAACTAGTTATGGAGCAACAACCAGAAACTGATGTTTCAATGTTGCAAAAAAAGAGGAAATCATCAGCTAAGTATTCACATCCCTCAGCCGCCGTTGATTTTATGGTCGGACTATTTATCACAATAGATCACATCAACTTACTAATAGCTCTCACCGTAATTTTATCTTTCTTCTTTTTTTTTTCTCATTTTTTTCTAATCTACCTTCGGTTTTCTTCTTAAGGACTTAAAGGTCGGAAAAATAAATTTTAACAAAAAATAAAATGTTTGATTTTCCGGATTTATGATTAGCGCGGAAACAAAAAATCAGGCGATTTCCGGAAAAGCAGGTTGGTTCAGATCGATATTGAGAAGCGGACGAGGCTTGACTTCGTGATTATTCATATCAACGACCGACGATGAATCGGAGTCGCTTTGTACTATACCGTTGAACGTCGCATGAAAGTCACGATTATCGAATCTCATCCGTTGATACTGATGTCCTTTCACTAAACCAGGCCGGACAAACGCATCAAGGTAAAAAACTTGAGGACTCGCAATAGCCGGCACACCAGCGGTAAAAACATCCGCAACCTGTGAAACTTGCTTGAAAGGAAACCTGACGGCTGAAGATCTGTACCCGGAAAGTGCCCCGTGTCCAAGGCTGAGATCCAATGGAGTAGAATCGATCATGAGCGCCGGCTCAAGGCTTGAGGACTCCACTGTGCTACTCTGGCTAGTGCTCTGATTGTTGCTGTTGTTATTACCATTATTGTCACAGTTGTTACGATTGTTGATGTTTTCACTTGGGAGGGGAAAATTAGTCTTTGCCTTTGCGCCGCGAAATTCCCGGGCTGCAGCGTCGTAGGCTTTGGCGGCTTCCTCAGCCGTATCAAAAGTTCCTAACCAAACACGGCTCTTCTTCCCTGGATCTCTGATCTCAGCAGCGTAACGGCCCCATGGCCGCTTCCTCACTCCTCTAAAATGAACCTCCCTACTATTCCCGTTACCGTTACCTTTAACGGCGGTCGTCGTTTTCTCTCTCGGCACCATTTAGACAGGGAAAGGCTCTCCGTTTTAAAAAACCTTTTGTGTAACGTTTAATCTGTTTATTGTTGAAATAAAACACTGGGAATGGTGTGGGGTTGAGAGAGAAGGGATGGAGAAGCGAGGAGGTTTTATAGAAGGGAAGATGGACTTGGAGAGGAATTAAATGAGGGAGGGGCCCAGTCAACGACGGATTTGACTGAGGGGGCGGCTGAGAGAAAGAGTGGGGAATAGTGGCAGTTATGTAAATCAAGAACCGGATTACGTGGCATGTGGGTTGTCGTGAAGATAGCACATGTTATATCATCATTATCATTATCTAACGGCTGTTATAGTACTATTGATTGCTGCGGTGGTATGTGCGCCAAGTCACTCTCTCTTTCTCTCGTTCGTCACACGCCACACCGAAAGGTGAATTTTTCCCTTTTTTTTTTTTTTTTACTGAAGTATATATTTTTTAAAAATTTAATTATATAAAATGAAAATAAAAAATAATATTTTATAATTTAAAATTGATTTATAAATATGCAAATAAAAATACTTAAGAATCAGAGCGCGTGAAGTAACGAGGTAAAGTGAGAATAAGAAGTTTGAACAAGTTGTCGGCATATTCTGCTATCCCGCCGCGTGACTAGGATCGGTTATTTGATTTGGATGTAAGGTATGGGCGGGTGGGGGCTGCCTTTACTTTGCTCTATTCCCCCCATCTTTCTCTTTCTCTCTCTTTCTATTCTCAATTTTTTTTTTTTAAGGCTCTTTAAAGAACCCCCAACCACGCCTTTGTTTAATCCCATTTGAACCGGTCACTCGGACAAACAGCAGTTGTCCACTACCCAATTAAATCTCGCCACGATTCCTTTATTCCTTACGCCTGCTGCTCACATCGGGTAGTTTCTGACACTTAGTATCCGACAACTCTCTTCCCCCACTCCCTCCAATTCTCTCGTGAATCACACGCACCTCTTGGATACAATTAAGTTTTTATTTAACTATTTAACAAACCACGCAAAACACGTTGCCATAAGATTAGAGATGTTAACTGTCGTGTAAATTACAGAAAGTTGGCCAATTAGAAGGGAGGCGAGTCATGGTTGATGTGACGTGGCATTAAATGCATGACCAAATAAGGGAGCTATTAGGGACATTGAGCCTATTATTAATATTTATTTTCCATTTGCCTCGATTGATCGCAACTCAGCGACACTGGATTTTGATTAGATAAGCTACTCTACAATACTTCCATTTTGCTCCAAAATTGGGCACAAATTAAAGAAATTTATATTTGGGGATTTGGTTTCGAAATTTGATTAAAAAATGGTCTATCCTTAACATTAAAGCAACTAAAATTAAAAATAATTATGAATTATTAAAAATTTAATTTTAACGATAAAATTTAAATTTTGATAATTTAAAAAATAATTAAAAAAAAAAAAGATGACGGCTACTGATGGAAATAGATTTTGGCCGGCCTCATTGTTCATTTCAATTTCTCAATCAAATCCACCGAGTTTTGACGGCATTTACGAGCTCAACGCAAAGCGAAAGCATTTGCTTCTGCTTTCCAACACAATTGATGGCTTTCACACGCACAGCTTTGATTTTATTATTTGCAAAAGCTGATTTCATTTTCATGTCAACCTCATAAATATGGGTTGTTTATCGTTTTAATTACGAAATATTGAGCACGTCAAAATTTCAGATCTCTGTTGTTATGGCTTAGGCATGTTTTTCGTTGCTTCAATCTTATCCTATTTTAATTGGTTGATAAATCCAAAAGATCAAATCCCGTTTATAAAAGGAAAGTTTCGTTAAAAGTATTTTAATTTTTAATTGCTATTTATTTTTTTATTTTCATTTTCATTTTCATTTTTTATTTTTTATCAATCAAACAAAACCTTAATTGTTGAAAAAAAAAAGGCATATGGTTTATAACATCCCTAACTATTAGTGGTAATTTTTAATATCTTAATATAGAAAAATTTATCATATATATAACTTGATTTACAGTAATTTTCCTTATTCAATGTTTGTAATAATAATAATAATAATAATAATGTTTCTAATGTTTCTTATTAGCGACAAAAGTGTTATTTACGAGTTATGCAAAATGCAATGAAAATTGAATTTATGTTTTAACTTTAGTTTATGTAATTATTTTTAAAATATATATTTAATAAATTTAAAATTTTTTATTATTAGATTGTGATTTTTTATATAAAAATTAACGAAAATTAATTTTTTTTCAATCAAAAGGCATCTAGTTTCTAGAGGGATCACGAATGAAACTTCTTACATTCACACGATTATTGCTCAATAATTTCCCTGCATTAATTTATTTATTCTTTGGTCGGTGAAGGCGAGACACAATACGAAGTTGAATGATTTTATCAAAATATAATAATAAGTGAATAATATACGAAAAATCGCTTTTTGTTGCTAATGTCACGCTAACTAGATTCCACCAATTCACTAATTATCATTTGGGTGGCTGCCCGTAAAATTTCCAAGATTCTACGCTCCAAAATCAGCCACCAAAATTTCTGCTGCAGGCTGTTCCGAAGAAATTTTAGGCCCATACCACATCTCCTAAATCTTCCCCATATGAATAAACATTTTTTTTTTTTTTATAATTCTAACACCATGAGACTAAATCAATGCATTTTTATTTTTATTTTTATTAATAGCTAGAATTGGCAAAAAGAAAGAAAAAAACAAGATTCTGACAAGTTGAGTCAACAGGGCAAGGAGCAGGTGGGGAAGGGGAGACGTAATAGATGAGCGAGATTTTGACACAGCAGCCATGAAAAGCATGAAGCACGTTGACTCCACGGGTAGCGATTTCCGTGTCGTCAGTAGTCCTGGCCTAAGCCTATGGCTCTGGAGATTTTAAGTCCTCGTATTTGATGATTCAACATTGAGCGGCCACCATAGCAACAGCTCCTTTTGATCTCGTGAAGAAAATGGTTTTTTTTTTTTTTAGAATAACATCTAGAAGCATTTTGGTTGTTAGAAGTCTTGTGTTCATTTGATTTCTCACCTTTGCTCTTGCATCTTTGATAGCTTCATTCAAAGAGAAGAAAGGAATTTATCTGCAAGGTTAAACCTTTTGACCATTACCAAATAAAATAATTTAATGTTTCTTCGATGCTTGCTTCAAACTCCATTGCTATAACATTGATTATCTTTTTTACTTTTAACCCATGTTTTGAATCACACCATTGCTATACAAGAACAAAAGAAAAAAAAAAAACTCACAAACTATTTTTTTATAAGGAAGAAAAGTTTATTAATCAAGAGATATTCCTTTATTTCATAAATGTTAATTTTTAGAAATTAAATAGTTGTCATTACGAGCATAAATAAATCAAATATCAATACAATTTATAATGTTTGTTAAATTTATAAATTTTAAAATATTATTTAAAATTATTTATTAAATTTAATAAATAAAAAATAAATATATTTACGAATTATTTGTTTATAAACAAATCATACATGAATAAATTAAATCAATTTATATTCGCAAAATATTCATCAAACCACTGTTAGTTTACTCTCCATGCATTGCATAGTTTGCTTTGTTTTTGTCAAGTATGGTTAGGATGCTAATGTTGAAAGAATGTTCAAAGCAATGATGAATACAGAAAATGACGCAAGTTGGTTGGAAGGTAAATTTAGTCAAATGGGAACATAGACTGGAATTGGAAGTACAGACCACAGATTATACACGTACTAGACGCTGAATTCTAATGTTGCTGTCCAGCAATGTTTCTTTTTCTGGGAAGCGACGTGCCCTTATTTTTGACTTTCTTCGCATGTGAAAACCCAAAAAAGTTGTAGCTTGTTAGAAAATTTGTTCGGCTTGGAAGGGTGGGGCTGTCAAATTTACAACTAGGGTTTGAACCTACCGAAACAAAATAACCCATGAATATTAAGGTATGTTGATTTGAGTAGCAAAAAATTTGATTTTTTTAAAAATAAAATTTTAGTTTTAAATTTTATGAATAAAAAATAATTTTAAAAGTTTATTTTTCTGATGAGATTTAATATGATTGAATTTTAGATTAATCGAGATTCAAAATTATTATCGAAAATTTAAAGATCTCAGACAAAAAAAAATCATAAATATTGTCGACAAATTGTTTTAAGATTTGAAGGTTAAAGTCATAGCAGACCTGCCTTTGCAGGAACTTCAACAAGTCAAAAACAGTGGAGCTTCAAACTGTTTGATGATCCTAGTCCAACAACATGCGCGGGGGTTCACTGAAGTAGTTCGGCTAAGATGGCTTTTGTCCGGTCAAAGCAGTTGGGCTTAAGCTTTTCTTGCCGGCTCATCGTTTCAGTTAGATGGACCAAAAGCTGCAATTTATTGATTTGGTCGTTTTGGGCCTCTAACATTGGCATTCAAATTTTTAAGCGGATTTTTATATTAATTAGAGCTCATTTTTCGGTCTCAGACATCAAGTTTGTAATTTAAAATTTAAGTCCAATTCTTAACTTAAAAAAAAAAAACAGTTATAAAATCATTCACTAATTATTAAGATCAAATGTTACACCAAATCTAAGTTAGAGAGATGATAACGGTTTGAATAGAATAGAATAGAATAGAATAGAATTTTATTTTATTTTTTAAAATATTATATAATATTATAAAATTTTAAAATTTTATCTGAATTTAAATCGAATTTTCATTCGATTAGAATAAAATCAATTCAAATTATATCGGTTCTATTTGGTTTATTGATTTTTAAGTTTTAATTTTTTTTATATTTTATTTTAAAATAAAATTTTAATATATTTAAATAAATTTTGATATAATAATGTTATTTTTATTTTATAAAAATTTAAAAAATATATAAAAAATTAAGAAAAATATATAATATGATTCGTTTTTTTTTTTTTTAGTTTTTCATCTCTTAATTCAAAATTTGATCCCAACCTAATATATATATATATATATTTAATATTTAAATTTGATTTAAACCAAATAAAAAAATAATTCTTATAAAATCGAATACTACTATTTCAAATCATTTTTTGTTTTTCTAAAATTTTTTTCTTACCTCTAATCTCGGCTTTTCATCTCTATATTTCTTTTCTTTAATTAACGTAAAAATT